TGAGCACTTTTTTGCCATTATTGTTATGCCCTTATCTGAAATATTAAATAACCTATTTTCCTGCCATTTACTTCCACACTTACCCTTATGACATCAGTTCATAAACCCCATCTTTGTCTCTTATACCTGGTAAACACAATTTATCATAATCCCTGAGAATTCAACAAAAGCTGTCTTGAAAGTAATGAATGTTCAATGTAATTAATTAAACATACTTTGGCAATTCCAAGCACTCTTAATGGGAATGAAGAATATTGACTGCAATTGACAGATATTATAATGCATTTGAAATTTGATTTGAACCCTTGTTTTTTGTAATTATTTATGCAATCATGTGATATAATGTGCATTTATCAACTGGCTTGCATTTGCCACACTTGTGGGCCTGATGGCAATCAGACCCCTCACCCCAACCCCCTGCTCATGAATCTGAATACAAATGAGGATCAGAATGTTTGTTAAGCATAACAAATGTACACAAATTTGTTGCAGAGGTAATGAAGCTGACATAATATTTGTATATGCAAATTGTCTTTGGTGAAGTTTACAGTTTAGGAGTTAGATAGGACATTTTTAAAGAAAGTTCAGACATACTGTATATTAACTTGACACTATGAGAATATACACTTTCAAAGGTTGCTTGATATGAATTCAGTAAAATTCACCCTTTAAATCTGATCCTCCTAAAATTATGCTTAAATACTGCTCATGAGTTTTCCACACAGACCATACAGAAGTCACAGAAATGTTGTTGGGGTGGATGGTGGACAAATAAAATGCAAGACTTTAACACCAGAATCCTGTAGGCAAGAAATGCAATATTATTTAGGGTTAGGGATAGATCATGAGTTTGACATCTATATTTGACACTGCAGACATACAGGTAAAAACTTGTACAGTGCATTTTTCCCATCAAAGCAGTTCTAAAACATTAACCATACAGAACAAATATGACTTGTATAACTCATATGCAGTACCTGAGTAGCCCTCTAATTATAAACATATGGCCTGCCTGGCTCCATCATTTGGTGAATCTATTGAAATCTGTAAATAAATAGAATCAAAACTGAGCAAACAGATTGGATTTAAAGTAAAGACTACAGTACAGTCCAAATGTCTTGTTTGGTTTTTACTTACCTACGTTTGCATACACTCCACATGGATGCACTTCTATTCATACTACAATCGGGGGATGCATACATGGACGTGTTCCACACACATGCACCACAATACATGATGATCCTGACCGAATTGTTGAATTTGGTTGAACTGCATAAAAGGTGTGCAACTGGGACCTGGAATGGGACCAGGGATGGGAATTAAACAGTACATACCTGCAATGCACAAAACAAGCATCTACTTTAGCTGTTTGGCACATTTGTGGACAGGACACTCAAATTTGGGGCTGTACACGGATGTCCACTCAGAGTATGCAACCCTCACAAGCTTTTGCAGATGAATATGGATTTGTGATCTGATGCTTTTCCTTGTTTCTCTCTCCTCTATCCACTCACCCCAATCGAGGCAGAAGGCCGCCCACCAAGAACCGGGGTCTGTCGGAGGTTTCTTCCGTTAAAGGGAGTTTTTCCTCCGCCAAGTGTTTGCTCAAGGGGGATTTGTTGGGTTTTCCTATGTAATAATATTGATAACAGTAAGGTCTAGACCTTACTTTGTAAAGTGTCGTGAGATGACTTTTGTTGTGATTTGGCGCTATACAAATAAAATCGATTTGATTTAGCCAAGAAACATTTTTGTAATACTGACCAATAAAACCTGCCTATTGGTGGATGATAAGATACAGAGTGGCGCGGTGGTTAGCACCATCGCCTCACAGCAAGAAGGTTCCAGGTTCAAGCCCTGGTTTGCATGGTCTCCCTGTGCCTCCGGGTACTCCTACTTCCTGTGGCTTCCGGTTGTGGGGGGAGCTGAGGCCAACCCCAGCTGACACTGGGCAAGTAGCAGGGTCCACCCTGGACAGGTGGCCTATCACAGGGCTGACAGGTAGAAAAACAACCACACACACTCACTCCTAGGGGCAATTTAGCCAGTCAACCTAAGCTGCATGTCTTTGGACTGTGGGAAAAAGCTGGAGGGAACCCACGCAGGCACAGGGAGAACATGCAAACTCCATACAGAAAGGCCCAGAGTCGGCCCAGACTCCCACCTGGAACCTTCTTGCTGTACACAACAGCACTACAGTATACTGTTAATATAACAATGCTTCCTCTTCTTTTTGATGAATCCAAAAATACAAATTCATTTTTTTACACTTGAAAAATATTCAGAGGCAGTAAAGTACTTTTTAAAACTCAGTGTCTGCAGGTTTCAGCCTACACAGGGCCACAGCCAACAACTATAAATTCAACAAGGCTGTACACAGCAGGTGAGGGGAAACCCTGGACAAACACACTTCACAAGCATTAGTTGTAGCACTCACAGCTGATTAAAGCATTAAATACATTTGAAGAATATGTATTAGACTGAGAACCAGCAAGATTTAGAATCCTTCCTCATGCCACGTCTACTGTACTGTCCTCTTGTTACAGTGCATATCTCTGTTGTTTTTTTTTAACTGTTTTAACAGCTCAAAATAAATCCAACATTTAGTCCAACAGGTCTCCAACACAAGACATTTTAGCATCTTCTCAGTCTTGTAATTCACATACATAAACCTACCTGTACCCACTCCCTCTCCAGCAAAGCCAGGAAACCCTCCAGTGTGCGGCAGCATGGGTCCATGATGAGCTGAGCCAAAGTGCTGATGAGCAATGTGGTATCTGTTCCTTCAGAACCGTGAACCAGAACTGAATGACCGTCCCTTGTAAAAATGAATAGATAAGCCAGAGGCTTATAACTTTGTGTGCATAATAAAAGGCATCCCTGCATGTACTGTATTTCAAGGCAAAGTAACTACTGAAACTTCTTAAATAATGCTGCTGACAGGAACTCCAGCTTTAGTGATGGCTTAGTGCTGGCATCTGTTATACCACATCCTATGGTATTTATCTGGCTCTTAACTCTTAACATTGACCTGTGATATTGTTTTCCTTCCTCAACAAGTTTACATTAAGTAGCAAAAGGTTTTGGTCTCCGTTGTCTCTATAGATAAGAATATGCTTTTGATTTTTTTTTGGTTAGACACAGGTTGCTACAGCTGATGCATGATTGCTTTATTCATACAGTATCACAGGCTGATTTTACTATACTCCTGCACTGATTTCAAATTGAAAACATTTCTTTATGCACAGACTTATTTGCATACAGTTTGCAGTTATACAAACTTGGGACAAATGTACGCCAACTATAATGCCACCACAGACACACCCTGGGGGCATAGTTCCTACCTCTCCACACACTCTGCCAGCAGGCCAGCAGTTGACAGAGCAGTTTGGACATGAGACAGCCACTTTGAATTCTCAAGCTTACTGAGCCAGCGGTCCATACTGTGGGACTCATCGCCACAGGCCTCCACTAGTTTGATTAGACTCTCCTGCAGTGCTTTACCCCTGTTTACACACATATGAAAAAAAACAAGTTAAAACTGGTATGTTTCATGGAATAAATCAGAATGATAAAAAGGTGAAGAGCGTTTCCTCCCACTATGCACACACACCTTTCCATATGCCTGTGCAGTCTCTTCCAACAGTTATAGCACGATTTGGACTCAAAGCCTCCGCCTGTTATCCGGGCCTGCTGCGCCTGCTGACTGGAGCGGGTGTCAATAATGTAACCTTTGTCTGAACCATCAATCACAGCCTGAAGAAGGTGCTCATCTTCCCTGCAGCGCTTCCTATTGGCTCCCGTCAGAGGCTGACTGCTGCGCATGATTACCTAAAAATGTTTTAGTTTGGTGAGAACTGTTTAGTTATGTGTGTAAATTGTAGGCCAGTGGAGAAACGCACAAACATCTCACCATGCCATTCTTCCTGTGGTAGTAGCAGAGGACAGGGAAGCGTCCTCCCTGTCTGAATTTGCCCACTTTCACCAGTATGTCGTCAGTTATATCCCTAGGAACAATGACAGCTGGAGGGTAGGTGGGACACACTGAGTAGTCTCTGTTCACACTGCTCAATCTCCACCTATCATGCTGCAAATAAAGGAGGGAGAAGGTGAGGAACACTAGTCACAGTGACAAATAACTAATCAATAACTGGAAACATCTAGCCTAAGGGCAGCAAAATATGCACTTCTGCAACTTACTCATTAATACCATTATTGTTTAACTGTGTAAGTGTAAAGTGTAGCTCATTAATGTGATGGCTACAAATGTCTTGGCAGTGAACAGCGATATTCTACCTACCCATCTCCTGGCTGTGCCTTCATATTTTACAGACAGATATAGACATGGTTTTGATCTTTTGGTCTAATTCTTGTCAAGACGTTCCATTTAACAAATCTTAATTGCATAATATGTTTTATTTAAGGCCAATCAGGTGTTACAGTTTACAATTTGCAGGTGGCAACTTCACAGAATAGCTCAACTAGTAAGATGGCCACAGACATGCAAGCGCCAGTTCTGAGTAAAGGGCAGTCACTAGGGCAGTCACTAGGCCACCCAGATTGTGCCTACACAATACATGCAACAATGCTGCCGCCAGGGTCCAGCCCACCCCTATCCCCAGAGGACGACATCCAGCTTTTGAACACAAATTCCAACAGTGTGCAGCAAATTCTGAAGGTATGAAAACAAATGAAAGCTAAGCAACGAGGATATCCTGTCCCACGCCCTCATGTTTTCTTGGAATTTTCCGGTCATATGAATGCTGGATCACTGCTGGGAAAAGTTGTCTGTGAGACTTCTGCCTGTTTGTGAGATTACATTCCAAAGTTACATATATGCATTGCTTACAAGCTCCTTCATTTGACTGTAATGTTCTTCAGGGGATGAGAGACCCCACTGGTCCTGCAGGCTGAGATGAGAGGGTCTGTGAAAGAAGGGATACATCTCGGACACACAGTCCAGGCAGGACAGGGTCTAGAGAAAGGGAAACAGGGACTGTTGTTAAACGTCAGATATAAAGTAAAGATCAAGACAAGGAGGAAACAGCAAGACATTTTACATAATAATAAATAAATACTGATTTACTCATTCTTTTGTGCTGCATTTTAGGTACTTATTGTACCTCAATAGAGTGTGCAATGTTGAGACATTGCTCCATGCCGGGGATGTCGAGCTGGAGCACACGCAGATCTTTACACTTGATGGTAATGGTCCCTGAAGATCCAGAAATCCTACACACCCAAGTACACGCCACTATGATTAATGCAGAGCAGTGAAAAACAATATCCACTTCCCCCATCAATGGCTCATGTTTTGACTCCAGCAGGGCAAAAAGTTGCAGCAAAACAGGAAAGCAAACCCAGTCAGCTGTGTGTCGGGGGGGCCTTTAGCTTGCTGAAAAATAGATGTAGAGCCCTTACTCTTTATTACATACCAAAAACAGGCCTATATCAAGTTTCAGTAAGCTTTCATGAAGCTATACGCAAAAAAGGCTGAGAATGAGGGGAAAAAACCCACAACATGAGTTTGTGGGCGTAGCAGGAAAAGACAATTGCTGCAATCTTGTTAGCAAATTTGCTTCTGGAGCACTGTGGCCAATAAGAGCAACACACAGCAGACACACAGCAACACAAATGATGTCCAACCTTTCACTGCGGCCTGCATTAGAGAAGAGGCCGGAATAGCCCGAAAGGTTTTCCACACTGGTCAAAAAGATTTGAGGAATAATGTAATTAGACATTAATTATACACTGGAGCATTCACTGGCACAGAAGAGACAACTTGTTGACAACTAATTGTTGGCCCTGTGAGTGTGTGTGTTTGACCGTGCACAGGTTTGTAGTCATAACCAATAATCATCACTATAACAGATGATTATTAGATGCTGTAGTTAGTATTTTAAGTAGCACATTAGCTGGATTGCGTTGAATCAAGGGTCAGTTTTTAGGCAGTTTTGTAAATAACTCCTGATTAATATGATTTTAATATGATTTATTACACAGCTAAACTCGATACATGGTTACACTTTTTATTCCCCCTCCCTCACCTTTTCTCAATGGCATCGATGTTCCTCAGAAGCAGTAAAAACTGCCGACAGCTGCCCTCCTCCCTGTCCGAGAAGAGCAGGTTGTGGCCGGTGACACACAGGGTGCCCCTGCTCGGCGGATGGAGCGGCTGGGGGGGGGGAAAGTCTTTCCCCCTTGTGGGGCGTGTAAAATGAAAGCAACAGGCTCCCTCCCCTGTCTACACAGTTGCGCTTTGTTTGTCTGACGATAAGTGGCCTATAAATAGATTTAACCCCCAGAACAACCAATAATGTAGCTACACCTTGTAAAACCCAGGTGGCTGAGCATGAGGCTGCCCTAGAAATGGAAACGTGTTGCTTGACTTGGCTAAAAACGGAAGTGCACGTTTCCTGAGAGACAGCAACACTGGTATTAGCTACTAAAATTTTGTGCGTTGTGGGGGAGAGTGAAATGGAGAGAAGCTGCAGTGATAGGTTTGGTATGTGATAAATGACCACTAGGTGGCAGCACATGCACATATACAAAATCGATGTAAATCACAGCATTTGTGACAGATGTCTAAAGCTTTGACCGGTGTTGTGAGAAGCGTATTCACCGGTCAATTTAAGTATTAAAAGTAAATCAGCTTTTAGTTAGTCCTCATTTGAAAGTGTTGGTTGTATAAGCTTCATTGTATTGCGATAGTTATGAATGCACTAGAGTGCAAGGGGCATTTTATTGTTGCTGCTTTACGGGCGGATCATATTTTGTCCCGCAGTAAAAATAGTGAGTTGAAAATACAACATTTTCCTCTAAATGTGAAGTACAATGGTGGCATTTAGTACTATAAGTACTACTCAAATAATTTGAGGTAGCCTACTCACTGACCAGCTACAACATTAAAATACTTCTAATAATACGTCAGGAGTGCAATAAAACAACACGCACAGTGGCTTCTTCCATCGCTATGTACTTATTTACTTGGGCCTTAATTGTGGTTACTTAAGTACATTTTGCTGATAATGCTTCTGTATTTTTACTTAGCCCAAGTAAGATTTTTGAATGCAGGACTTGTAATGCAGTGTTTTGGAGTATTATTAGTTATACTTTTATTTTGCATTTTTAATCTAAATAAGACCAAGCTACACTTGGTTTTTGCTGTAAGGAGGACGTTCCGGGAACTTAGGCTTCCTAAAGCCTATCAATTATCCTGCGTCCCTGTCCTCAGCCAAGTGGGCGGTCACTGCTCTTATCTCCCTATAAACGTTGCGCGCTGATCGCCACACCAGCAACACACAAAACGAACTTAGTGAAGTCCCGAAGGACCTCACTCACTCGCTGGACCGATGGATTTTAAAGTGTTTGGGGACGAATCCACCGAGGGAGACGCTGTGGATCTGGACAGCGTAAAGGCACTAACAGAGAAGCTGAAGTTACAGACGCGCAGACCATCCTATCTGGAGTGGCAGGAGCGGGTACAGAGTGGACCGTGGAAGGAAGGCTGCTCTGAAACAGGCAGTCCGGGCTCTGGAGAACCAGTCGTTTCCATGCCTGCAATTATGAGAAATGAGAACTCCGAACTGGTTGTGCGCAATATCTGTGGTTTTGATACTATTGATGATGCTTTGGAGTTTCTGCGAAAAGAGCTGGTAAGGGACTCCTGAGCCTTTTATTTTACCCATAGATTTATAGGCTACTATAATAAAACAAATGTTTTGTGCAAATATCACTGCCAAGACCTGACAACTTTACACCGTCAAACAAAAACAATCTTTTCATAGTTCCCTCTCTGCATGTGTGACATACTGTCTTTCTCACCTCTGGCGTAGACAGTCAGCTTTTCAGGTATCAGTGATCTGCTCTGCATGAATGCCTGCTTTAAATCAGAGAGCTGCACGGTTGGCTTCCTGCACAGCTTAAACAAATAGTTTGTAAAACAGGGCAGTCTGTTTTCTGCTACCTGTATATTCTACACTACACACTTTGATAAAGAGATTAAACAGCTATCCAGAACCAAACGTCCACACATTTTGTGTTATTGCTTCATCCCCACACCCTTTGTTTCTCCTCAGAGGGAAATGCAGGTTCAGGACAACCGCCTGGCCCGCCAGCTGATCCGCCTGCGTGGAGAGATCCACCGGCTCAAAGTGGAGCAGGTGTGTGACCGTCACAAGGAGATGCTGGACGATGCAACATTTGAGCTGGAGGAGTGTGGCGAGGATTCTGATTTCCTGTGTGACATCCCCATGAAGGCTGCCTTCACTCTGTCCACCCCTCTAAAACACCTGGGCCTCACCAAGATGAACCTCAACTCCAGACGGTTCTCACTGTGTTAAAATCACAACTCTTCATTAATGCTACTGAGAGCGCTCCTGTTGCCTCTCTTGTGCTTGTGTAGGCTATTATTAGGATTATTTCCTCATCTGAACATGTACTGGGGACAGAATGATGAGTGACTACCAGCTACCTGTGCCATGAAAATGACTCCTTTGATGTGCACCTCTCCTTGACATGCATGAGGAAGCTCTCAGTTGACGCCCTTAATACTAACACACTGGACTGAGCCTGGGCTGCTCTACCATTCACTTTTCTTTGCACAGTGCATTGTGAACCATGGTAGATAAATGAAGGCTGAAATGTAAAATGAATGTGGGATGGGTATTGTGTTAAATATCATGATTGTTTAGTGTTGTAAAAGCAAACTTTCACATTTTTCCAAAGAAGTGCAAGACAATAAGAGGAACAGTAGGACTGTGTGGTTGGAAGCTTGTCACTGAAATACTCACTTCAGGACAATCATTGGAAGCTTTGTACAGCCAGACGATATTCAGACAGGTAGACAGGTAGACAAGTCACTTTACTTGAGATTACTGGTGACATATTTTCTGCATTTGATTGAAATAAGAAGGTAAGGCAAGGCAGGTTTTTTCCTGTATAGCACACCTTCATACACAAAGGCAAGTCAAACAGCTTAATGCAATGTACACAGATAGATAAAACATTTAAATGCATATATAGATAAAAACACAATGCTAATTAGATTAAAACAATACATGCAAATTAAAAGCAACAATTCCAGTTAGCAATAAAGACTGTGTCTGGTCTAGTCTGGTCAGATCGGATAAAGAAAACATTCACACCTAAGACAAAATAGAGTCCTTAAATAAACTCCTACTGTACAGTATATACACATAGGCATTCATCAGGGTTCTGTCCCTGCCAGTGTCCTCACAGGAAACAGGCTGCCATTGTCTGGCATTTTTTACACTTCTTCTTTGCAAACCAAAAATATCTATATGTGCCCCGGTGCACTGACAGGACTCACAACACGGTGACTGATGCATTTTGTTTTCCATGACCATGTCCAGATGCCACAGTGCACAGCCTTTAAGCTATATATGGCTTATACTGATCGAGTGTATTGAGCTGCTCAGTGGGCAGTTTAAGTTAAACGGTTTATTAGTATGAACAGAAAGCAAGAGGACTCATATTTTTCTCATATTTTAAGTGTCATGTTTTTGTGTTGTAGTTGCTAAATATTAAAACATCTTATTGCCATTGTTTATCATTCCATGCAGACTGCAGAATGAGCATTTACATGCAAGATGCCTTAAAATGTACATTTTTCTTGCTTGTATGACACTTTATTAAAGAGAATTTAATATGTCTGTCAGTTTTAAAATGTATTATTTTTACTGGTAATCACATGTCAACTTGACTGTAAAGTATACTGTGGGTTAGCTTCTACTGATCTGCTATCAGTCCTGTCTTTGGTAAATGTCACCACATCATGCTGCTTCAGGTCCATCCATAGCCAGCTGTGTACAGTACTCTCCGTCATGACCTGGTGTAATATATACACTCATGAATGAGGCCCTAGAGGAATACACACAACCACAGGCACTGATGGACAAAATTCATCAAATAAGAAACCAAGTGTTGACACTGTGTAAAAATGAAAGTACAAGTAGAACTACTGCAATGATCACAAAATGGCACAACCTACTTCAGGACGTTGATAACCTTAGGCCTACACTGGGGGAAATGAGTAACACAAAAAGCACAGAGGCCACAATGTGATGCTCTGGGGCCTTATTCTTTACTGAATGCTTTTGCATTTACACTGCATGTGGTTTCCCTTGATCATACCACCTCCCATCATATGAGCAGAAGCTGATATGTATCAGTGTATTTGAGTAAACACACTTAAAAACACATATTTGAAATTGTTTTAAAATTTATATGAGTAAGCATTAGCAGCAAACAAGAGCCATGCTCACTCACATGAAAGAGGCCAGCACCTGCACTGTGAAGCGGGTTGTAGGAGGGTTGGAAAACTTTGTGCATATTGATAGTATCTCAATCTGATTGCGTAACAGAATGTGATTTCCAACCACATTTGGAAGTAGTGACAACCGTGTTTGAGAGGAAAATAGGAATACCCTTTAGGGTCTGCCAAAATGTGGTCTCCAAAGGTGGTGGGGCTCAGTTGATGCACAATATATTTCATATATCACTGTGTCTGATTAGATTCTGCATTCAAAAACTGATAGAACACTATGTACATGTGCATCTTCTTATGTTTTAGAGATATTGCTGAAATCAGCTCAGTAAAAAGCCCTGTAATATCACCTACAGTACATAATGTCAAAAAGCAAAAGTACTTCACCCATCCTGCTAGATTTATACTCTACACTTTAACGGAAAAAGAGTCAACTCTAGTGGTTTCATCACAAGTGAGACTTAATCTATGCTGTGGCAGTCTTCTAAGCACATATTTCTGTGCAGTTCCTGTAATGTTTGGACTGACTTCCTGCCAGTGCGAGCTCTGCAGCAACAGCCGTTCACCACAAAAGAAATGATGCAGCCTGCAGTTAGAGCTGTCTGAGAGGCACAGCAGATGTACAGGGTGCTAGCAGTCTGAAGGACTTCTTATTTCATGTCTCCTTTCTGGAGACAAAATGGGACCATGGTGTGGGCCCCACTCAACAAAAATCTCTGGTTAAAATAACAATTCACCATTTATTGCTCTATAAGTGACATCTAGTGAACAGTTACATACACCTCACCTCACCGTATACAATTACACAATCCTCCAGAAATTGGTATAATCATAAACATGTATGCATTGTTTGTGGTTGCTGTTTCGAGGTACCAGCTCACTTTACTTTGTAACACGATACTGTTGCTGCATTACTTTTTTAAGCTCCTTTAAGCTGTTAATACTGTGTTTTTTACTATTCATCCTGTTTATATTGTTTATTTATTATCCTGTCTATATTGTTTAGTTCAAATTATTATTTATCTCCTCCTGGGTGTTTTTTTATGAGCAGCCAACCCACTTCAAGTCTTTTAAGTATAGCACGTATGAATGACTTAGTTGAGAATAGCAAGGCCAACATGAAAACACAAACCACATGTTGGGTTGACAAAAATAGCTTTGTGTCCTTTTACCAAACCTGAGACTTGAAAGCACTACTCAGGAACCACAATTGCTCCAAATCACCAAAATGGTCTTTTGCATTGCATTAAATATAATAAATTATAGTTAATTACAGTACTGCTGAGTTCATTCCTGTGCTATTTGAAATGTTCTTTTGTCAAATACACTGTCTTGTAAACCCAGACCATCGCCCTAGCCCTACATTGATGGAGTTCCTCACCTTAAAGGTCACTGACTCACAGATGTTTCACACATAAACAGCACAACAACATATAAATATAACCTCACCACTGTCACAGACTGCCTGTAACTGTATTGGAACATTCACATCTTGGCTCACTCTTTGGGAAAGGTGCCATCCTGACCCCTTTACCATGGAGCCCATAACGTTCCCCTCTGCTAACATACAGCTGCATGTAAACACCTGCAGTGCAACCCTCAATTTTTCAACGACAGGAAACTCACCGAGTCGCTCTCTTCCACTCCTCCACTCCTGTGTCTGCATGCGTACAGACACCACATCAGCACACCTAGCACTGAATCAGTTATAATAAGTGAAGCAGATGATGATATCTTCACACCCAGGGTCCAGTGGAGAATTGCTAAATACAAATATTTAATAAAAATATCTCTATGGCGGCTCTTGAAATCTAAAATTATTGGACTCTTGAGACTTTTCGAACGTCAAGAAGTGAGTATCTAAACTTCTTTCTTTCAGTCACCGAGGTTTAGAATATAGAAAACTGTGATAAACAAAGATCAACAAAAATAATTATTTACTCATCATTATTGCATGTTATAGGAAACATGTTACATAAATTAGAGGCACTGCTCTGATCTTTTGGCTTTTTTATGAACTATATTGTATTTTGACAATTAGTATATAAAGAGAATTATGTCCCCACCCAAAACTAATGGCAGGTTAGCTAAAATCTATAATATCTATCCATATGTTTCCATTTGTGTTACATAATTTAGCATAAAGGCTTGTAAAAATGCATATTCAGATACTGCTGGTGTGACTGTCATTGTTGAAAAAAATCCGAATTACAAAGTTGTGCAAACCACATAAGAACAATAGTATGCTTTCTCTTTAAGTAAAATACTCTTAGTGTCTTGTTAATCTAATTTATATGTTTAAAATTTAGTGAAAATATGAACTCAGGGCATTTGTGTGCTGGTAAATTTATACCTGTGACACTGATTTGTCTACATGAGAGATAATGTGGGCAATGTCCAGTACAACAACATGAATTATGTGAAGTGTCAGTTCTGTGATAATGGTGCTATAATCAGAAATTTCACAGAAATTCTATGCTTATGTTTACACCATTATTTATGGTGTTCTAAGTGCATTTTGGAATATAGCTCAGCCCTCAAGCTTCCATGATAATGCCAGGGAATTACACCAAATGTCTTTGGCCATTCTTATGGACCTAACAAGCTAAATACCCATAATACTTTGCAAACAATAACAATCAAAAGTATTTGTTTGGAAAGGCCTTCAGCTCCAGATCATAAAAAGAAGAGGGTAACCTCTCAGTGGAAAATGCTGACTTTGTTCATATTAGTCCCAGAGTGTTGGCCAGTAGGCACAGGAGTGCTGATAATTTTAAAGAAAACCCTTCTTCATGCACTGGCGATCCTCCTGTGATTCGCTCCTTGGGGTCTCAGCACAGTGGTGCTTGTTACTGCCAGGTCAAGGCCTCTCCAGATTTTTCTCAAGGCTCTGAGCCTTTGGGACAGATTAAGGCTGTGATTAGCCCACTGTCCCTGTTTCATGAGTGGCCTGGTGGGAGCCAAGTGAGCTTGAGAAAGCCAGTTCATTGAGCGAACCACATGCAGACTCTGGATTATACAAGATTAGTATTTGTACAGTTTTACAGAGCCTATTGTTCATGTCTGAATCAGAATTAGCACACATAAAGCCCTGTGATTTGGTCACAGCTCTGTGGTGTGAGTTATCTGATTGGATTTGACTGTCATGTGCATTTTTATACAATGTCAAAAAATGTCTAAAATGAAATGTTTTAAAACTGTTATGCTCATAGTTCAGAACCTGAGTCACTACTGAGCCTCCATTTTGAGGCGAGGGCCTCAGTCACGTCCGGTTAAAGCAGTTTTCGAAAACAAAAACATTTTGTAAGATGCAGTTATTTCCCGACATCCAGAATTAAAATTGATACTTTCACTGGAGAATTTTTGCCATTTAAAAAATATACTAATTATTATGTTAGAAACATTTTTATGCTCATAAAAAAAAATAACTTGAACCTCTAAATTGCAGAAAAGATGGGATGTAACTGCAGTTCGGATTATTCAGACAGTGACTGGATTGAGAACTTGGATGAAATCTGTGAGAACTGTAACTGCCCCATTCCTCCCCAGTCAAGCAATCCAGTAAGTGCACATTTTGTATCAGCAGTCAGTGTTGATGTTTTTTGTATTTGTGCACACGTGTGTACGTGTCAACACATTGTTCATCGTAGAGAATGAATGGGTGTGCAGTTTGACACGAATGGGCTTTGATTTTTTTTCTGTGGTTGAATGAGAATGACCACTTTGGAGGACATACAGTACACATACACAGACACACAGACAGTGGTACGAGTGAGAAGTTGTGAGCATCACAGTTAGCGATGTGTGTTTCAGTCACCCCCCCCCTAAAAAAAATAAAAATAAAGTATAACTTAGATAACTCTGAGGGAAGCTGTCTTCAGTCTGTGTAATTAAAATGATTTTCTCAGAGTTGTTTGTTTGCCCTGTGTGAATTTGATGCCCCATTAGATTAGAAATAATGAAGAAAGCCACCTGTATGTGCCACAATACGTTGAGACATTTGCAATGTGACATGTGATAGTGGCTTGTTCTACCACATTAATCTTCTACTGACTTTAGAAAACTGACTCTAAAATACTAATTGGATCTTGTTTTCTTCTTGCCAGTACACAGATCAGCTGATTCTGTACCCATCACAGCATTCACCTCCTACGTCACCTTTACCAGGTAATTAGTTACAATAGGTTTTTCTCTCTGTGTTTAAGAATATACTTATGTCACAGTGTCACCAATATTACATTTTTTGTTTAGTCCAAAATCACAAAATTGCTTCAGAAGAGGAGAAAAAAAAACATCAATGGGAAAATGACCAGAAGAACTGACTTCATATAATAATGCTAGAGGTTGTAGTCGAATTACAATATGTAGAAACTGAATGACAGTATTAGATAAAGTATATCAAGTAATATTAAGCAAATGTAAGATGAAAAAGAATTGCAAATTTTAGGCAGAATGTAAACACATAACTGAAAGTAAGTAAATTATACAGTTATTAAAATGTATTATAAAGCTTTTTAATTTTTTCTTTAGCCCCAGTTAAAGTTTAAACGTTTTATTGTATTATATCTCACCTGTCCCATTTCTCAACTCTTTGTTTCCTCTTTACTCAGTCCTAGCACATGTTAACTCATTCTAGTATATTTACCTAGTTATTCATTTCATATTTCATATTTTTCTCATGCAAAAATAAAAAATGTTCCTCATATTTTCCAGTCAAAATGTCCTTTACAAATATGCTATTTCCCCTGTTTTTTTACATTAAATGTGAAGGCTGTGTCTGTTACTTGGGTGATATGTTATCCCCTATTAGCCACCACTTGGGTTGAGTATAATAAACCCCATATAGATTGTAGTTACTTTGCTGTGGTGTTCGATCAGGGGCCCGTATATTGTTTGGAGCTGGGAGTGATGACACTGGCTAGTTTTTGTGTGCATACAGTAATGGACTACTTTGGTCTTTTGTTTCAGTTAAACTGAAATTGTTTACACTAAGTCACTGTATCATTTGATTATGGATTCATTTAGACACCAAACTCATCACAACACCTAATAGCTGCATGTGTTGCTCGTGGGCTTCGCAGCCCCCTTACACTGTGCCAGTGTCATCTTCCTATCTTGAAGTAACAAAACAAACCACTGTTGTTAATTGTGTAGCTGGATTCTATTTGGAAACATAATATGGCTACTCCAGTAATTAAGGAAACAATTCACAGCACCCAAACATATCAAAATATTTTTACTTATAGATACCTCCTTCATTAAGTCAACTGAAAATTTCTTTTTGCCATCAAATGGGAATCATTTAATAAATGAGATTAGATTCCATACACCTAGCATTTGGCCACATTGTCAGTAAGAGGCAACCATCATAAATTTCACACTGTACAGGGACCAGACAAGGATACCCACTCTTTTCCTTCATCACTGCCACTGAGCCATCTGTGATTAAAATGTCCCTTACATACGACATTTCTTCTGTGTTTTATTTAACTAAAATTCACAACATTCCTCTTGCAGACAGCCTTGCGGTGGCCAAATACAGCTATGTACCCCGGCATAATGATGACCTGGGCTTTGAGAAGGGAGACAAACTCAAGATCATCAACAAGTAAGCTGCTGATGAGCATTTAATAAAGCCTGGTTGGCTAGAATTATAATTATAGGTTGCTTCAGACAACAGTTTGATCGCTAACCATTCATCCCCATGAGACCCAAAACTTTATTTAAGTATGTTGAGTCCTTGAGCATCCTGTATTAACTAACATATACCGAACCAAAAACACACCTGAGTTTTCAAGTTGGCCTAGTCTAACATGTAATGTCTCTGGTTCATGTTCATTCTGTCTCTCCTATGTTTTCAATCTCTCTCTATTATCAACTATTGAAGAAGTACAAAAATTTTTTAAAAATGTGATCACACTGTGGGATATTTATTTATTTGTCTATTAATGGAGTTCTGACTGACATAAGAGCCATAGGACAATAACATTTTTAAAAAATGTATATTTATATTCTATGATTATATACAATTATGTGCTTTTTAGGTTTATTCTTATTCCAATAAAATTTTTAATGAAAATCTGAGAGATTCTGAGACAAAAGTGGAGCATATTAGATTAAAGAAATGTAGATTCCAATGCTGAGACAAATTTTACAGTACAGGTGAAAAAATATTTGGGACATTGTATAGAGTTTGGTTGGTGGGTAAACAAAAATTTCTTTGATGGTGTTCTGCGAGAGGAATTTAGACTTGTGTAGGAAAATGTGATTATTAATTTAGCTGTTAATTACCTGAACTATTCCTCTGATAAACTCAAAAGTTTAACTAGCTGTGGAGATGGTGGAGATTAATGACCACGCCTCCTTTTTCTGTTCTCTTTTCGGCTGATATGTAAGACAGCGATTTCCCAGCCTGCTAAGTGTGGTGTGGGTCATCGTATGCAGTGATCATTTTCACTGCAAAGAGGCCTTTTGCCTGTGGGGGCTAATGAAGCTGCTTCCTGATGATGGATCCATCTATCGCAGAATGTCTAGGCTGTTGTGAGGCATCACAGACATGTAAATTCTCTCATTGTTTTATTGTTGTCTCTTCTGATATCCAGAAATGATCCAGAGTGGTATTTGGCAGAGTCTCTCACCACAGGCCAGCGGGGATACATCCCTTACAACTTCGTTGCTATGACTACAGTGGAGACTGAATCGTACGTCACACAGGAAACATAATGATACTGCTCTGAACACCATCTCATCTCATATGCTGCATGCTGTGACCCTAAGGGAGGGGAAGTGGTTAGCTCAAAGTGTGAAGCATAGCCTACTGTGTGTTTCTTCTGCAGGTGGTTCTTTAAGAACATTTCTAGAAATGAAGCCATGAGGATCCTCCTTGCTCCTGGGAATACGCAGGGCTCATTCCTGATTCGAGAGAGTGAGACAGCCCCAGGTGAACTGACTTCTTTGTTGTCATAGCTTCTCTTTCACAAGGTGGTTTCTCAGCAGTATGTCTGAATATGTTCTTCCACTGCTGCATACACTTAAACTTGATGCATGAAGCATTTTACACATTACAATTGTGATACATGAGTGTGAATACCACACAAGTAAGATCATGCTCAAAATGCTGGTAGCCCCTCTGTCTCTCAGTCTTGTTATTACTGGCAGTGTTTCTAAAATTGCATTTCCCACAAATCCCCTTCCTGTGTCCTGACTTGCTTTGTCTGATTGATTTCAGTTTTGCTTTCCTGCTAAAAATGAAAATGTTGAAAGACTTTTTTACATGAATATTTATTTATGTCTTCTCACTGTTTCTATTGGAAATGCTGCATGAACAGTAGAATGCTAACCCTATCAGATATGTGCCTTAAACCTGTGCTTCTAACATCGCGGCATGGCTCTATCGGTAGGCTACTGCTGGTCTGTCATTCCACAGCTGTTAGAATGCTAACATGCTCCACTGAGATGGTGAACATGGTAAACATTATACACTACCGGCTTAACATCAACATGTTAACATATGGATGTTAGCCTACTTCACTCAACACACATTGTGTGTATGTACATCCTGGCAGAGCGCTAACATGGCTGGTTTTTGTTCAGACTAGAAGTTTGTCAAACTGTGAAGCATGTCCCCTCAGTCAGATCTGAACACATAGGTGTTACACATATTTTTTTATTCAGTGTAACTTATGCGTTCAGAAGGTATCGTTGACATCCATTGTAAATAAACTTCAAAAAAGAGACACTCATAACAAAGCGGCTTGTCTTGTAATCATCACATTTAACACATTTTTTTCTGTATCATAGCAGATAATCTACTGAGAGCTGTCTATACACTGCAAACATAGATTGCTAATAGCTTTTTATTTGGTGTATTTTCAGTTGCGTCAATTTGCCAAAACGTAGACAAATATGGACTATGAATATTGCATAAATGTTTGTTTGGGTGAAGGATATAGTGTCCAACTTTGAAAAATCCAAGTTTAGACATTTGAGGTAAAATCTGCTCCTTCACAGTGCTTCCTCGTTTTTCCAGGGTCATACTCCTTATCAGTCAGGGACTTGGATCATAACACAGGTGAAGGAGTCAAGCACTACAGGATCCGCAACATGGACAATGGTGGCTTCTACATCACAGCCAAGATATCCTTTAGCTCACTGAAGGAGCTTGTCCAGCATCACTCACGTGCGTACAGCTGCTTAAAGAGATAATCCAGATTATTGTTTACTAAGGGGTCTGCATGTGAATAATTTTCACTTGCCTCCTCTCTTTGTCATCCAGGTGAGGCAGACGGGTTGTGCACAAAGCTGATGAAGCCGTGTCAGTCAAGAATGCCGCAGAAGCCTTGGTGGCAGGATGAGTGGGAGATTCCCCGAGAGTCCTTGAAACTAGTGCAAAGACTTGGAGCTGGACAATTTGGAGAAGTGTGGATGGGTAAGTTACATAAAAGAAAGAAAAGGTGGACAGGAAGATTGAGAGGAAAAATGTTGATCATGGCTCCATTAAAAATATGGGGATAGTGTAGATTTTTAAAAGTTTAATGACTTAAGTCTTGTATTTTCATTTTGCACGTCCAAGCTTGAACCATTTTGCACATGTACAAAGCCCAGTTGCTCAATAAACGGACAGTGACATTGTGGCTTGACACTGTATCTGCCAGAAGGTTTTTAGACAGGGTTTTTCTGCATTGCATGCAAAATGATTTCCTTATAGATTTTAAATTGTAGACTACTTTGAGCTGGTTAACTGGAAAATGATATGAGGTTTTAACCCTAGTATGCATGTTCAGTCAGAGGACATGAACCTACCTTTCCAGTGAGCTCGGGGACTGATTGAGTTGTGTCATCAGTGTCCATTGTGATAGTGGAGAATTAAGTTAAACAAAATGGCAAAATGTTTTGATCACAAGGGTATCAACTGAAATAACCTTTCCCACAGTCCATTTATTATTCAGATGGATAGAGTATTTTCCTCTTTGGTTTCCATTCCTATATGTCAGCATAATTGCCAACCATGGAGTTTGGACTCATCTCACAGCCACTTTCCATTTATAGTACTGTATCTTGTTGGATGATGTCTGGACACTGTGTTTGTTCACTGTCCTCAATCAAACATTGGCTCAAACACATACAGTATATGAATAATGGGTGTGACTGTCATTGACTATGAAATGTTGATTCACATTAGTTAAGAGGAAGATATGTGATAACCACCCCTCACTGGGAGAAGAATTCCACTGCAGTTAAAAAGAGAGGACAGAATGTTTTGAATAGTCAATATAATATTTCCATCATTGCTATGCTTCATGTATGGTGAGATGTTCAGTTTGTTAAATGACTGAAGATAAAACTGTATGACTATGTGTTTAGTCAACGTGATATATTGGAGTCTTAGTGTACCCGAGCTGGAAAGAGATGCTGTTTGCATGAGTTTCATGGTGAACTGTACTAAGCACAACTCATGACATAACTGCTGTGTTTATGACCAAGCCTGCTGTGTGTCTTGTTCATGTCTGGGACAAGATGATCTCCAAGGCAAGATGGATTCCCATTCAAATTGATAGAGATATTTATGGTCTTCAGAAGATGAATCCCAGTGACTTTGGGTGCTCTCTAACTTTTGTTTCTAGCACCGCCAGGAAAATTCTTAAGTCTAAATGTTCTTTATTGTGTAAAATGTGTCAATGTCCACCAGCCACATTGGCACAGAGTTTGGTACATTCACAGTTCTCAGGCAATATACCCCAGCAACATTAGTAATCACCTGACTTTTTCTAGCACCACTATGAAGTTCACATTTGTGAAAAGGACTTGACAACAGTTGGATGGCTTGCTGCACAAACTAGTACAGACTTACTTGTGGTCTCCTAACTTTTCATCTAGCACCATCATCAGATCAAAATTGCAATATGTCTAATTTTCCAGTTTATGGCCAACTATGTGCAAAACCTTTCCCATTAGCCTCAACTGAACATAGCAAATGTCAACATGGTAGCATGCTAAAAAAACATGGCTGCTAAACATCATCATGTTAGCATTGTCACTGTGAGCATGTTAGCTTACTGATTAATGAGCATTTAGTTCAAAGCACCACTGTGCCTAAATACAGCTCACAGAGCTGCTAGCATGGCTGTAGACTTAGCAACCTAGTGATGTTTAAATGTGTATTTGCAGGTGTCTACAATAATGACAGGAAGGTGGCAATCAAGAGTCTGAAAATGGGCACAATGTCAATGGAAGCCTTCCTGGCAGAGGCCAATATGATGAAGAACTTGCAGCACCCTCATCTTGTCCGCCTCTTTGCTGTGGTTACCGAGGAACCAATCAATATAATCACCGAGTACATGGAAAATGGTAGGTTGAAATACTGTATGTGTCACAGCCAAGAGCATTTTACTAATAACACCATCAGTCAAGACAATCGGATATCACTGAAAGCATCAAAAGAAAACTGGTTCCAGGGTATTTCCATGAAATCAATGCTCATTTGAAGATAAATGGAAAAAAGAAATCCTCCTGTACTCATACTCACTTCGGTTCAGATTAGTCAATGAAAATATGTTTAAGCCTGTCTGAAATAAATGCTTCTTAAACTCCTGTCCTGACAAAGTGTGTTAGTGTCAGCACTGTGTTACAAATGTTCAAACTTGTTGATCTGTTATTGGACTCTGGGAGAGAGTACACGCTTGAAAAAAAGACTGGGCTGTCCCATGTGTTCCACCTTCATGAGTCATGGTGTTTTCACTTGTATTCACCCCTCCAGTGTCTCTGTTGAATTAGCTGAGTTTCTTTTGATCACGCAGCCACAGTTGCCTTCTTATTTATTTGGCTATGATACACACTCTGATATGAGATGCACATTACTGGAACTACACAATCATTACCTGTGATTGTAGATGAATGCAACTGTGTGACTAAACCTAAATAAGGGAGCCAAGTGAAGGCATGCTGCTCTGCTGAAGTGGCCTGGCTTCTGATAGGTTATTTTCAGCTTCTGCTCATGGCCCTCCTGTGTCCACTGCTGTGCGCCAAAATGTTTCAACGCAAACATGAACTTTAACTTCTTTTCACAACAGGTTACTGGTGTTTTCAAGGGAAGTCTCTCCGGGCCAGTCTGAGAAGTGTTATTGTTCACAGAGACCCCTGATGAGGCCTGGCTATTTTCCAGAGTCTGCCTTACGCACACACAGACACGTGTACACAAATATTGGCCCACTATAAGGTTGCAGCAGTAAAAAGCATCTTGTTACTGGAGCTTCCACTTTCCCCCTCTATTTTTACATAACAAAGTACATGAGAATTTATTGAGAATCACAAAACACGAGTAATAAACTGGGGTCATTTAACAGCTGTAAACAACTTTCTATATTACAAGATCTATGCAAAGATTTAGTTCACCCAAATGTCATATGAAAGTGATCCAGTGAAAGTGATCTCTGTAATTCTTTTTCACTGGGAGGAACAATAACAAAATGCATAAAGAGATGTCGTCACAAACACAGCAACAGCCTTACAGCTGTAGTGAATGGAGTGCCTTTGTATGGTCTTGAACGGGGGGCCTGTAAACCATCAGAGGTAATTCTGAGGCTGCCTATTTGTCTGGGATCCACATGTGGACTGGACACAGTTGTCACCTCTGTTGTCAAGAGAAAGGATTGCTTGAAGTTTCCATCTGTTTTAATTGATCCTTTTTCATTATCAGTGACAACAAAGATGGAAAATAGCAGGCGTGTCATTCCAGCTTCCCTTTGGACCTTGATAAAGACCGTTCCTTTAAAAGCAGTCTTCCGGACTTAAGCAGAGGTGCAAATGCCTCTTTCCTGGCACACTCATTCTCTTTATTTTTTCTGGTTTGACTTGGTTGGCCAGCATGCAGAGGTATTGTTCTGTGCTAATCAAACTGGAAACAAAGTCCACTGTCAGAAACTATGCATCAGTTTGACTGATGCATCTTGTACTTCCTCACAGTGTTATGCTCCTTGATATGAACTGCTATTCTGGTCCAGCTCTTTCTATTTATGTGTTTGGGAAACTGTGGTATTTTTGACCACTAAAAAATGTTATTAACAAAGTCTAATTTTACTTTTGTTTTCCAATGAATTTGACTTTTCGCTCTTGCTTTTCTGTGCATAGCAGCTTCAGCTACAATATAATGAAAAAGTGTATGTACGTATCTGTAATATTCATGATGTATGAAAGGGGGTAACCTAGCTTATTTGCAGAAAAATGTCGACATGATTTGCTTGATAACTTCAAAATATTCTGCTTAGTTACTAGGTAGTAAGTTAATGTAAGCATGAATCAGTGGTTTTCTGAAGAGATATAATGTGGATGTGATTTTTTACAGGTAGCCTGGTGGATTACCTAAAAACAACAGAGGGAAGCAATTTGACCATGAACATTTTGATAGACATGGCATCGCAGGTAAATCTAAATCTATCTGTCCTCTTAGCTCTACACTCCTTTCACACCAATTACCAGATTTTCTTTCTTTCACTTCCTATTTTCTCAGCACAATCCTCATAAACAGGAAACTGGCCAAGGTAGTAATGAGGCTCACATTCGAGACTAATCCTATAATAACTACAGAGCTGGGTGTGTGTTAGTAAGTGTTTTTGTGCAGGTAGACCCTCGGGCACAAATTAAACTGTGCAACTACCAAACAGGCCTAATATCACACTAGATTTTTTTACACATTGGTACAAAGATCAACTGTTAAAATCTAAGCATGGAGACAAACTCAAAGTATGATGCAGATTTTCTTTTTATTTCTCTAAATTTGTCTTACTGACTTTTATCAGCATATAGTCAGATGCTCTGTCACAGCACTGCCAACTAATGTTTACAATTTAAATTCTGATAGATGACTCAGCTGGTCAGTTGTTTGAACATGTTTGAACATGGGGTTTGACACAGACTGCAAGATGAAGTGAAAGTACAAAATATCAGTACACTAAATATGAAGCAACAGTTGGCAGCTTAGCTTCTCACAAAGACCTGGCTGAAGAGGTAGCAAAACCTGCCTTCCAACACTTCTAGCTCACTAATTTACACATTATATCTTGTTTGTTTAATCGTTTGGTTTAAAAATCCTGGAATCTTTGGTTGCCTGACTAAGACACCAGATGATCTTATGATCTCACAATCCCTGTAAACCACAATCTGTTTTATTGAGCCTCCACTTTTGTACAAGTTATACACACAAGGTACTAGAGGTCCATATTAACCAGGTAGTATGATAGAAAACAAAAAGAATTGGTTTGATATGATATGATCAGGGTGATGGCGGGGGACCTCATCTGCTGTCAAATTGCTGAAATCTGTCTCCCCTGTGTTTTTAAATCTCTCACCTGAAATGAAGAGTTCTGAAACTGTGCAAAATGTGACGTCACACCCATGCATACTAATGGATATACAAAGATTAAACCCACCCCCTGTGCAGAGCTAGAGTTTGGGGAGTTACATAAAAATAGCTGTGCTAAAGCTAAGCTAGCTGCCCCTGGCTATGTTTGACAAAAATTACTAGTTACTTTGTTAGGAAACTTAAACACAATCCTACCGCTCTGAAGTGTCCAGTCTGCAACAGCAAGTTCCTCTCCTTCCCCTTCAGGATCAGACTCTGGTTCATATATCTCCATTTACTATCATGTGTTTCCACCCACAGCCATCACAGCAAGGTAAAGAGCAGCAGCAACTGTAAGATTTATTAGGTTCTAATCTGATTGGCCTGGTGAAGATGATCACCTTCAGCTAATTCATGGTTCAAGGTTCAAGGATTTTATTGTCAATCCACCATATGTGCAGGACATACAGAAAATCGAAATACCGTTTCTCTCTCACCTAGGATTGGGTGCCATAACATTTAGGAACTAAAATAGAATAAAGTAGAATAAAAATAGAATAGAATAAGAACTGGATTAACGTAATTAGGATAAATCTAAATGGTACAGCCAATAAGCTGTGACTCAAAACCATGTACAGTCAGTGACAATAGTGCAAACAATAATAGGAGATTGTCAGATGGTTCAGCATCACCAGGGCGTTGGTGATGAGGTGCAAATAGCATATGAGGTACACATGGACAGTACATACATGGGAAATCTGGGTTGTTTTTAAAATGAATTTAGAGAAATCTAAACAACTTTAAAGAATAAAATGTCACAGACATGTTTAACATATACTCAGTATTTATAGAAATGGGTCAAAAAGGCCGATAATACCATCTCTTTAACTACAGACAGGGCCAGTCTAACTGCTTCCCACTGTTTTCAGTCTAATCAACTGGCTCAGCTTAATTTTTAGCATACAGATATGAGCGACGCATTGATCTTCTTATCTGACTTTCAGTAACAAAACAAATCAACGTATATCAAAAAACGTTCATCAAGAATATCAACTCAAGCTCATATATACTTCTTAAAACATTACATGTAAGTAAAAGATCTCTGACTTACATGTATTGTGGGTGTGGGAATGGAAAAAAAACAACCACAGGAAGGCAGACTGATTTTTCAAAGACTAAGAAGACAAAGGAGTCTTCATTCGATGTAGGCAAATTCTCCATCGCCTTAGAGCTTGGCACAGCGAGGTACAGGGAGTTTGTACAGGGCTTTGTGGTAAACATATTTTAGAAAAAGATGCTCTCAAGGCAGTCGTCATGCGCTGATAGGATTTGTGGTGAAAGCTTAAAGCAAGAAACTCTAACCATCATGTAATGGACCATAAAAATTCAAAAGATTAATGACATCTTTTTGCTGCAGTACTGAGAACTGTTCATATCCTGATGCCTTATGCTTAAAATACAGTCACATGTATGTGTGTAATCGGAGGAATGTGAGATTTTAGCAATAGTAGAACAAAGCAGATACCTAATGTAATGTATCCTAAATAAAGTTTTTAAGTTTTACATTCATAAGATAATCAAATGAATGAAATATAAAGAGGTATTATGTTGCCTGAGGGGAATGACAGAAGTTCATAAAATTGACAGACAAACGTACATCTCAGGTTTATGACAAGACCCCCAGGGCCAATCACACCCATGTGATAGATTCTTATGTAAAGTATGTACTACCACCACCACCACTGCATATTATCTGTGGGTGTTGAATTTTGCAGAAATCATTAGCTTTTCCTGATTTAAATACTTCACACACCAATTTCCTCATAGATTACATGTAGGTTCAGTTTCCTCTGAGGTCAGCCTGTGTGGAGATGACTCATGTAGTATGTGACTGAATCAGAAACATGGTATCTGGAACAATCATCCAGACTGCACTAAGGTAAATGCAGGACTGCAGGTTTTAGTACAGCTAGTATTCAGCAGGCACAGCTGTGTACCAGGGTGGAGTGCATGGGTGGAGTACATGGTAAAAGGGTATAAGGAACTGACCTGGGGAAGTGGTAAACTCCCTGGTTTGACAATATTTCTGTTCATTTGTCCAACACCCACACAAATATTACACAATACTAAACCACACACAGGTTACCCACAGTGTGCATTTCATTCTTGAACACACACACACACACATTTAAAGCTTGTCTATTGATGTGCTGCCCCCTGCAGGTGAGTGATGGCATGGCCTTTATTGAGGAGAAAAATTACATACATCGAGACCTGCGAGCTGCCAATATTCTGGTGTCCCATGAACTCATCTGTAAGATTGCTGACTTTGGTCTTGCAAGGCTGATTGAGGACAATGAATACACAGCTAGAGAAGGTAACAAGACCTTATAGAGACTTAAGATGCCTTATATCACAGGTTATTTTGAGCTCAGAGCTTGGAAACTTTGTTCAGGCTAAATAATATCTCTTATAGACAGTTATTTATTTTATTATTATGTTATATGCGTTGATGTCTTTTTTGAGAGATAAAGTTCCCTTCTTTGTTCATAGGTGCAAAGTTCCCAATTAAGTGGACCGCCCCAGAAGCTATTAACTATGGCACCTTCTCCATAAAATCAGATGTATGGTCATTTGGGATCCTTCTCACAGAAATAGTGACATATGGACGCATACCTTACCCTGGTAAATTCTCATTCACTGTAGTCCTTCAAGCCCATCACAAAATTATTTTACAATATTACATTACAAGTCTAGTATAGATTGGAATTGCTGGAAAACACCATAACATTGCCCACTTGGCTATATTTTCCCTGTGGTGCAGGTATGTCCAACCCAGAGGTAATCCAGAATCTGGAGTGGGGCTACAGAATGCCGAAGCCAGAAAATTGCCCCGATGAACTTTATGATGTCATGAAAATGTGCTGGAAGGATGAGGCTTCGGAGAGGCCCACCTTTGAGTACCTGAGGAGCGTTCTGGGGGATTTCAACACTGCCACAGAGAGTCAGTATCAGGAATAAACTTGATGGGGCAGAAAGACATACAGATAAACAATAAATATACTCAAACTAGCAGCATAGCCTCTGAACCTGGATGTTGGGTTTTGTTTTGTTTATTAAAAAGCACAGGTACTGATATTCCAAATAAGAGTACTTTGTTTTCACACCATACTTATTCTGAAATGGCCTTGTAGATATGATACAATCACATATGGACTATGATCCTAAAACTGGATCACTGAAGAGCCAACAACAGGAGGAGAGTGATCACTGTGCTGCTTCAATAAACTGGGGACTGGGAAGTAAGGAGCTGCTCTCCTGGTGCTTGTTATTAAGATGTAAATACTGTCAAACTGCTTCAGCTGTGTTTCACCTCTGAAGTTTAATAAATGTTTTCAAGTCGTTTTTCTTACAGTAAAACGACTTACATGGATGTTGTTTGTTGTTAAAGTAAATTTAATCCATACATAAATAAACCACTATCAGTAGAGTATTCTTGGTGTTTTGGTTTATTCCACACTAAATTCTCAAAAGTTTCATTTGTGATTCTAGTTGACATTATTCAGGTGCCTCTGGCTGCATTATGGAAACTGCAGTACTTTTCCTGAGTGCTGCCTGCAGCAAATGCTGCAGGTATATCCAAAAATAATGAAAAATATGTATCTCTGGGCATGCACACAGACTTTTGAAGGGATTGGATAGCAGTGGTGAAATGTAACTACTGTAAGTACAGTTGCTCAAGTACTAAATATGACTATGATTTTGTGGAAGCTGTGATGTTGTAAGGTACTTCCTTTATCTTTCCTCTTCTACCTTATGTTTTATACTCTGTTTTAGAGGCAAAAATGTTATATTTTATGGCTTAAACTGCCAAGCAGTAATATAAAGTTGGTAAAATTAGGTCATCCTTGACCAGCTTCATCATAAAATTTACTTACATATTAATGCATCAGTTATAATGAGTTATTATCAGTGCTCAAGGAGAACTTTATCTTATAAAGTAGTCTTGGTTTTGTTCATATATCTGGGCTTATGTTTAAGTTTCAGTTGTGACAGTCAGAGCAGCAGTGACAACCAGCTCCAAAACTAATGTATACGGAATATAGAGCCCATAGGTTTTCAGTAGTAGTGATATATATATATATATATATGTATGTGTGTGTGTGTGTGTGTGTGTGTGTCTAAAGTTGTTTGTAGCAGATGTATCTGCTTTAAGTATATTTTGATACCAACACTTTGTACTTTTACTTAAATAACTTTTGAATGCAGGATTTTTTACTTGCAACAGAGTATCTTTACACTGATGTATTGATACTTTTACTTTAGTAAAGGTTCTGAGTACTTCTTCCACCACTATGTAACACTTGTACTTTACAGGCGTTACGTAGTAACAAAGTAACAGGAACACAAGACAAGTAGAGAGTGTGAACTGTCGCCCCCTATTGAAAGCCACGTACGTTACATCCCGTTGACTGGATGTGATTCAAATTATCCGCCTCTCGTCGCTCTTTTCTCTTGTGCTGTGTACGGTGAAAGCCTGCTTAAAATAATAAAATGGCGCTTACTTCCCAAGGAACAAAGAAAAAAGTTTGCTACTACTATGATGGTGAGTACTCATGTACATGTGCTGTGCGCAGCCGGCGCACGGATAGGTGAAATCCGCCACCTTCCGCTAACAAAGGTTGCCGTTTATGTCACCTCTTGCTAACCTGGCTCGTTAGCCAACCTAGCTATCAGTGCCACCAAGTCAACGCATACTGTTAATGCTCTAATGATACTTGTCCAGTTGACCTGAATGCGCTGCTTGTCCCTGTGATGCCGTGTTTATCTGCCGGATGTTAGTACTTTAACCGGATTAACTAGTTATCGCCAGCTAGTAAGCTAACAATGGCATTGTGAGTAGGCTACTTCATTGTCACCACAATTGACATCAACTCTAAACTAACATTAAAATCGGCCATCTTTCTACAGTGCTAAGTGGTTTATCGTAAAAGAATGTTTGGAGCCACACTAATCTCCGTGTGTGACAAAGTGCCACCCTGTTCGGTTGTATCCGTTAGTTCCATAGCGGCTAACTAATTGATGTGAGAGTCCGGCTACAGGATCATGACGTGCACTCACTCAGTTACAGTGTTATGCAGGATTTTTTACTTGCAACAGAGTATCTTTACACTGATGTATTGATACTTTTACTTTAGTAAAGGTTCTGAGTACTTCTTCCACCACTATGTAACACTTGTACTTTACAGGCGTTACGTAGTAACAAAGTAACAGGAACACAAGACAAGTAGAGAGTGTGAACTGTCGCCCCCTATTGAAAGCCACGTACGTTACATCCCGTTGACTGGATGTGATTCAAATTATCCGCCTCTCGTCGCTCTTTTCTCTTGTGCTGTGTACGGTGAAAGCCTGCTTAAAATAATAAAATGGCGCTTACTTCCCAAGGAACAAAGAAAAAAGTTTGCTACTACTATGATGGTGAGTACTCATGTACATGTGCTGTGCGCAGCCGGCGCACGGATAGGTGAAATCCGCCACCTTCCGCTAACAAAGGTTGCCGTTTATGTCACCTCTTGCTAACCTGGCTCGTTAGCCAACCTAGCTATCAGTGCCACCAAGTCAACGCATACTGTTAATGCTCTAATGATACTTGTCCAGTTGACCTGAATGCGCTGCTTGTCCCTGTGATGCCGTGTTTATCTGCCGGATGTTAGTACTTTAACCGGATTAACTAGTTATCGCCAGCTAGTAAGCTAACAATGGCATTGTGAGTAGGCTACTTCATTGTCACCACAATTGACATCAACTCTAAACTAACATTAAAATCGGCCATCTTTCTACAGTGCTAAGTGGTTTATCGTAAAAGAATGTTTGGAGCCACACTAATCTCCGTGTGTGACAAAGTGCCACCCTGTTCGGTTGTATCCGTTAGTTCCATAGCGGCTAACTAATTGATGTGAGAGTCCGGCTACAGGATCATGACGTGCACTCACTCAGTTACAGTGTTGTTGAACTCGTGCACTTTTTAGTGCATGAACACATTCCGCACAGACATATAACGTTAGTGTGAAAAATGTATTCCTGTTCAAGTTTGCATTTGTTCTTCTTCTTCTTTTTGTTTGTTCGTAGATTAACCAGTAATTTGTTTGTCGTTTTAGGTGATGTTGGAAATTATTACTATGGTCAAGGGCATCCCATGAAGCCCCACCGAATCCGCATGACACACAACCTGTTGCTCAACTATGGCCTCTACAGAAAGATGGAGATATATGTATGTGAAATCACATGAATGTTCATAGTCAAATCAATGGCTCTCAGAAGGTTTTTGTGTGTCTTAGAGACTCGGTTGTCTTTCAGCGTCCACACAAAGCCAGTGGAGAGGAGATGACCAAGTATCATAGTGACGATTACATCAAATTCCTGCGTTCAATCCGACCAGACAACATGTCAGAGTACAGCAAGCAAATGCAGAGATGTAAGCTGGACTGTTTACATAAGGTTGACTGTTGACAATTTGACATGAGTGACAGCAGTGCTTTGGTTTACTCTGTGCTGTTGCTTTGCAGTTAATGTGGGAGAGGACTGTCCAGTGTTTGACGGTTTGTTTGAGTTCTGCCAGCTCTCAGCGGGGGGCTCTGTTGGTAAGTCGTTTCCCTTTGAATACTACTCAGACAAACATGCTGTGTTGGACAGTAACCATGGCATCACTGCTTCAGTAACGTGTTAAATTCAGTATAAACAGGTTATTAATTCTCGCTTGTACTCTGTGCACCAGCCGGTGCTGTGAAGTTGAACAAACAGCAGACGGACATCGCCATCAACTGGGCTGGGGGTCTGCATCACGCCAAGAAGTCTGAGGCCTCTGGGTTTTGTTACGTCAACGACATTGTTCTGGCTATTCTAGAGTTACTGAAGTGAGTACAAAGACACTATCACTGCCCCTCTGTTACAGGACTAGTTTGCATTAGTGGATGAAACGCTGCATGGTTGATGAAATTAAAATTTAACTGTTTGCTTCAAGGTCCATTTCACCCAAATAGGCAGGGGAGTTTTCAGAAACAATAGTACAGTAAATATATGAACTGCAGGATGTCTTTCTTGTGGCTTGAAAGTAGTAGGACTTAAAGGATTTTGTCCTTCTTTCCAGATACCACCAGAGAGTTTTGTACATAGATATTGACATCCATCATGGAGATGGTGTGGAGGAGGCCTTTTACACCACAGACCGTGTTATGACTGTGTCTTTCCACAAGTACGGAGAGTACTTCCCTGGCACAGGTGACCTAAGGGTAAGCACTGAAATCATTTGACTGATTCACATGATATCTGGATAATACAGTAAGCTGACATATGCTTTGTTCCCTGCAGGACATTGGGGCTGGGAAGGGTAAATATTATGCTGTGAATTATCCACTGAGGGACGGGATTGACGATGAGTCTTATGAAGCCATATTCAAACCTGTGAGTAAATAGTAATTTGTTTATCGCCATGTTTGGGAAGTGGAAATCTCCCTCAATGGACTGACGCATTTGAGGGTGGATATTGTTTGTGTAGATCATGGCTAAAGTGATGGAGATGTACCAACCTAGCGCAGTGGTTCTGCAGTGTGGAGCTGATTCTCTGTCAGGAGACCGGCTCGGCTGCTTCAACCTCACCATTAAAGGTAAGTCTGAAACATTTCTTTCCTCGCGATGTTACAAGTCTGTAAATGTAACTGAGAAACCAAAAAGTTTGGTCAGTATTTTTAATGAACTTGTCTTTGTGCTCAGGCCACGCCAAGTGTGTGGAGTACATAAAAGGCTTCAACCTGCCACTGCTAATGCTGGGTGGAGGAGGCTACACCATCCGCAACGTGGCACGCTGCTGGACGTATGAAACTGCTGTAGCCCTAGATTCCTCCATCCCTAATGGTGAGACTGAAAAGAGTTTTCATTTGAAATCAGGTTCTGTGCTGGAAATTGAACTGTTCGTCTTAGTGCTGTAGCATGAATAACACACAAACCATATGATACTGTACATCAGATATAGTGTAGATAAAACTAATTTCTTTGTCGGTTAACAGAAACTGATGACAACTTTGATAAACAGTCAAAGACAGGAGGTGAATCCCAATTCCCCTATTTTGCCATTCCTCGATCCTCACTCGACCCATAAGTCCATCATAATGAAGGACATCCCAAAGCTCTTATTTCTGCTCTGAGGAGCAAGGACGCTATCTCAAAGAGCTATAACCGAGGGTACACAAGTGTATCCTTCACAGAAGTCTGTCATGGACTGACATGCCCCTTTATTGAAAACCAGTGTGTGATCGGATGCTTTACACCAGGGATCAGAGGAAAGGATGTCTCATGTCAGTCAAAAAGTGTTTTCTCATTCCTCTCTTCTTAGTTTATCCTCATCTTTTCCTTGCATCTTACGGGACTAAGATGCAAGGAAAAGATGCAAGTGAGGGAAACATGGATGCATTTAGCGGAATTGGGATTCACCTGGGTGTGCACATTATAGCTTCCTAAATGTGCTTTCTTTTGTTTTTATAATGTAAATTGAAAACTTTGTTTTTTGATAAACACAAAATAACACAACAGCAGCTATTTTAAGATCTCTCTGATCTGTGTTAACTTATCATGGGATTTTTTTTGTTATGCCTGACATTTTATGGACTAATGGGAATAATTTAATCACTAATTAAATATAAACATTACTTGCAGCCCTGTAAAACATTTGTAAAACATTTGAATTTGTAGATAAGTAGTACATACTATAATTTCATACTGGTTAAAAAAAGAAACACAGCCTGACTTGAATTATTTGTAATAGCCCCTTAAAAACAATTCAATAATAAAAATGTAGTGATCTGAACTTAATTTGACAGAGCTCCCGTACAACGACTACTTTGAGTACTTTGGCCCAGACTTCAAACTACACATCAGCCCCTCCAACATGACCAATCAGAACACCACTGACTACCTGGAGAAGATCAAGTGAGTCCACAAAACTGTGACTATAAACTGGTCTGAATGTATTATGAAATGTCAGGTTGCATAATGTCTGTACTGCACAGCATCATTGGAGTCACGAGTCATATTTCCAACATCGTGTAATTGAAAAGTTGAGAACACTGCCAGATCAAAGGTAGAGGTCAACATCTCAGGTTGTCTGTGGTTTTCTCCGTTAACAGCGCATTCTGTCTTCTAGGCAACGTTTGTTTGAAAACTTGCGCATGCTGCCTCATGCCCCGGGAGTTCAGATGCAGGCCATTCCAGAGGACACTGTGCAGGAGGACAGCGGAGACGAGGAGGAGGATGACCCCAACAAACGTATCTCCAGTACGACCAGTTCAAATAGTCTTATCTTTTTCCCCCACTGACCGCACATAAGTTCTCTTGCAGGTAACCCTCCCAGAATACATAACATGCTTTAACTGAACCCTGTCCTCTGGTTAACATATAGTCCGTGCTCATGACAAGAGAATAGCATGCGAAGAGGAGTTCTCGGACTCCGAGGATGAGGGTGAAGGAGGCCGCAGAAATGCAGCCAGCTTCAAGAAGGCCAAGCGAGCCAAAACCGAAGGAGACAAAGAGGGAGAAGAAAAAGAGAAGAAAGGTGAGGAGGAAGCAAAAGGTACCTATTTGTTTTTTTTGTCCATCTCAACTCACCCCACTCTTTAGTTTTTTTTTAACAGATGTTATTAGTATTTAATGAAGTCACTTTTGTTTTGACATGTTTGTGATTATTTCTGTCCTTTTTATAGAAGTAAAAGAAGAAGATAAGGTACCAGAGGAAGAGAAAATGGACACATCAAAGTGAGAAAACACTGCACGCATTTACTGTTGTCCAGGAAGTGACTCACTGGGAGTATTAATCATTTTCTTACTCTGGGTCTTTAGGCCAAAAGAGGAGTCCAAGACACCTTGAGGTCCCCAGCACCCAATGATGCCACTGCAGCTGATCATAAATCCTAAAGCAAGATTTCTATTTTTATTTTATTTTTATTTTTTTGATCAAACAGCTCTTGAGGCTGCTGCTGTGCAAATCAGTGAAGGACTATACATTTGTAATGAGACATCCTCTTCCTCAGAATAAGACAATGGTCTAAACTTCTTGTTGTTGGACACCTTTCCAACCTTGCTGTTTTTGGCCTGGAAGCCAAACTGTTTCAAGTCTCATTTTGGTCCTGAATATTTTTAAGCTATGCCACTTGCTTTTCCTGTGTGAAACAGTTCTGTAAAAATGGTTTGGTACACATGTATGCTTTTATATACATCTGGATTTAATTTATTTAAATCATAGATATTTTGGCTACTCTGTCTTTCAGTCCTACTTTTGTCCTGTGCCTTTGTAGTTGAAGCATGTTGTAGAGTAATGCAATTCTGTAATGCAATTGTGTCGCTGGTCGTGCCTGCTACGGTCACCGAGAGTGGCTAAGAGAGTTGTCTTGACCTATATCACTCGTACCTGGCACAGTGTAAATAAATTACATTCTTTATATCATAGGTTATTATAGTACATGTCTTTTTCCTTTACTATCACAATGTTAAATTTGTGTCCTCCTCCCTCGCAGTATTGAAATTGTCCTGTCACAACTGCTGGTGTCAGGCTTAAACTCCACTAAAATGTTAATGCCCGATGTGCTGTGTAGTACGTTGGACATTAGGTGAAGATAAATGCCAGAATTCAGTCAGTTGGTCTGTATATTTGTATTCTAAAAACCCAAGTAAAAGTGTTTCACAAGAGGTCACTGACCCCAGGTGTGTCTTGAGCACACTAGAACAACTGTCATGTTTGTTTTTCAGAATAAAATTATAAAATGCTTTGTCAAGTTTGAGGAAATGATTGTCAATCATATTTTATAAAATAACTTTTAATGTAAATATACAGGTAACAACTCTCGGTATTTTCAAGACAATATCAACATAAAATCTGACCGTTTGTATTTTATCGTACATAGGGAAATAAAATACATTTGCGTTTGTTGGCTGAGTCCCATGTCTTCCTCGGACAATATGTAACAGACACATGATACAACAACACTGAGATGATGTTGCTTTTTATCCAGGTGAACCCAGCAATTCACAACCTATCTCAGTAGGTTTAGCTGGTTCAGAGCCACTCACTCTGCTCCACTGCCGTGTCGCCGCCCAGCAGTTCATCCTGCTCTACAGGCTCATCTTCAGCCTCACTCTCTGGATCTGGTGCTGACTTTGGGGTTCTCTGTATTCGCACCTGAATCAATACACGAATGGGCATGTGATAGAGAAGCTAACTTTCACGACCGTATGCTGTGCAAATGTGTTGCATGCGTATGCTGTGCTTTCCTTTTCTGGGAATAAATTTAATACTATTAGGAGGTTCACAAGATATTACTATAAAATAGCAGATAACTATCCACCTGCAGTCTCAATAGAAAACTATAGAAGAGTTAAAAACAAATCCAATACAACTTTTTTTTTTTTTCAGGCATGAGCCACAACTGGCTTTCCCCCTCAGATGCACTGTAGTGGTGAGCATTTCAGTAGCTTAAGGCTACTGCATGCTGGAATGTGTCTGGCTAACGCTTTATACCCTGTGGCAATTTGAGACGAGAAGAAATGTAAACAACTCTTAAAGCATAGACACACTTTGAATAAATAATGGGCGGGAATAAAGATGTGTAGCCTACCCCACAACAGTCCTGACACTAAGTATTTTTGTTCTTGAGGCTCTTTGCTTCAGCACATCCGATTTGAAATAAAAGAACTGTATGAGAGACAGTACAGCATTTTTAAACACACAGTGTCCAGATTGGGTTCTAAAGTAACTGGACAGCTGTGTATCTTAAATGTTAGTTCAAAACACAAAAGAGCTCACACGTAGCTCAGAGCTGACGGAGCGCGGCCATTTAAACTGAAGTGGAGTTGTTAATGTGAGGAGTAAAGAAGTGACCATTCAAGTCAAGAAGATCATCATAATCACATTAATAATATTTTGCATGGTAAATAAAAAGCCTTATCTAACTGCACAGCAAGTCGAGGATGCTTGAGGAGGTACTGTGCAAGTTTCCTTGTTAGTTAACAAGAGGAGATTTCCTGATCATAATCTCAGAGACTTTACCATAAGACACTAACCCCTGGTAAGCCTCAAAACACAAAGGCCAGGTTGAGCATGTATGGCTGCCAATGGATTGGTTGAGGATTCAACTGCTGACAGAAGCAACAGGATGAATGCAGAGGTACACAGGAGTGTTCTGTGCATTCAGATTCAGCCTAATGCATCAAAATTCACTGAACAAAACATTTTCTCATTCAGTAGGACAATGGTCCTAACCATACTGTATTCCACCTGTTCAGTTTGAAGAGGTAGAATATCCCTGACAGTCATCTGTCAGTCAGTCAGTCATCTGATTTCAACGTGACTGACCTGCATTCCACCTGCTGAAGACCAGACCAAAGGCGGAACGACGCCACAACAAGCAGGAGCTGAAGGTGGCTGTGGTGAAGGCCTGGGAGAGCAGCACCAGTGAAGATACAAGGTGTCTGCTCGTGTCTCTGGGTCAGACTTCAGGCAGCCACTGACTACAAAGGATTTTCCACAAAATATTCAATATAATGATTTTGTTTGACTTCATATATATCTGCCCAATTCCTTTTGAGCCCTTGGACTTTGAGCACTGTGTGTACTCAGTTCTTTCTATATTGATTTGGCCGTACTCAAATTAAAGCTGACACTTGGCATGTCAGTGTACTATCCATTTTTTTTCTTTTGTATCAGATGTTCTGAAGCACAGAGCCTGAAGAACAAAACATGGAAGTGTCCAATTACTTTTGGTCTAGACTTTATCAAGTGCCTGCAACACTGTTCGAACTCTACTTGAATATATTATAAAGAACATTTATTTATTCAAATATCTCACCACAGGGTTGTTTATAAAGACTGAGCTCCAGTTTGTGCCAGTAATACATGTCAGTCCGGATAACTCTGAAAGGTGTTTCTCAAAATGAAAAGAAAACCAAGCTGTGTTTCACATGCAATGTGCTAAAATGAACACATGAGGTGTGTCCACATATGTGGATCTGTATGGACATCTATTTACATCTATTTACATGTACTGAGACAGCATAAGATGAGGAACACAGTTACCACAATGTTCATGTTTGTCTTTCAGCAGGTCTAGAGCATGACTTGCACTTGTATGTATTAAAATGAGTGTCACATTTCTATTTGTGATATCATGAAGCCAGGTCAGTTTACTGTTAAAACTTTGGTTGGATCTCCTGTTTTGGGTTGCTGCTATGCTGCTACTGAGCCCTGTAATGATTACTAATGTGATCAGACCATTTTCTAGTAAAAGCACACAATTCACCTTTAGTGAATTGAGGTTAAACTTGTTTGTTTGCAAGGTGGATTTTTCTTAAATGTCGAAATTGTTTAAAAATTCTGAGCTGAAAATTAGCTTTTCTTTGCACACCCTCTTTCATCATTTACATTTGTGCAAAACACACTTTTCATATTCAAAACAGCAAAATGTCTGAATCAAACATGTACTATATGCGAGACATTACAGATAACATAACTGAACAATCCATGCGAACTACAAACGCACCCTCACCATGAGAAACACTCTAGGTCTAGCTGATGCTAACACTTGTCGATAGAAGCCAGTGGTGTGACAGCAGCTTACCTTCTTGGCCTGGTGCGGCCTCTTCCTGCATGGACAGAGGTACGGGAATGAAGTGCATGTAATGAAGCAACGGAAGGAGAACACTGCTTCCACCATGGACATCAAGATGAGAAGCACCCACAGAATGAGTGTGGTCGCCTGGTCAACAATAAAAAGACAGAACACAAATCTGATCATTCTTTTTTGCAACAATTCAAGTCAGTGTCAGAACTAGTGGATAAATATTCGCATTTAACTTACATAGATTCGGGTGGGGTCAAAGGGGCATTTGTACGTAGAGCCAACATCATCATCAGAATACGTGCAGTGTGTTAGTAGGTCCTCTCCACTATTAATAATGGCCTTCACCATAGAAAATGACAAGCCCACAGTGGAGGCAACTGCCAAGAGACCTGCCAGGAAGCTGAACACCAACAGGCCCCACTGCTGCAAGGACATGATAACAAAATCTTTTAGTGTGTTTAAGTAGAAACAAATACTCAGTCTAGGTTGTGAAACACATTTGTCCTCCTGAAAGCTAATGTGCTAGGAAAAGGAGAAATCACAGGTAAGTGCAAGATCTAATAAAACATTGCATATTTGAATAAATTCTGTATTTGCATATTGTGTATATATCTATCATCTTATCATCTTCCAGATCACCATACACACATGCACTCTGTCAAAAGCAAAGGGCAAGTTCCAACAAGAGCCAGAAAACGATAAGCATGAGTGGTGAATGGAGGAGGGACATGCTCTAGCAAAGATGGCAAAACAGTATTTACCAAGCCCTTGTTTTTCTTGTTTTTGGACAGGATGATTGTCATTATTCCACCAATGATTCCCTAGTAAGTACAAGATGTCACAAGTTCAGTAAAAAAGGTAAAAAAGTTAATATCAATTTGATTCTAAGTTCTTTATGCGTATCCGACCACTTACCAACAGGCTTCCTGCAATGGTGAGGATATTAGTGATGGCGTACACAATGGTTAGGGACTGAAAGCGCACGCTGATGTGCCTGAGCACAGCACCATGCACCAGTGCTCCAAGAACAAAGTTGACATGGCTCACCAGCACCAGCCCCAGCCCCATCTTCATCAGGGCCTTTCTGTCCTTGAGGCTGGCACAACATACTCCTAGGCAAAGCAGAAGCATGTTATTTTGAGCATCCTGGCCTCTGTCAAAATCTAACAGATAAACTGTCCATGTCATCAAACTGAAGCACGCAAGTGCAATCTCATATTAGAGTATGCAAATATGTGTGCATCGCTGTGCTGCTGCCAAACATAGCATAGTGTGATCAAACTACAGTACATATATAAACACATTAAATATGATACAAAATACAGAACAAGCAGTTACTGCACTGAGAATGTGTGCAAGCTGACTTTGTTGCAGTGTTGTGGTTTCAGCGAAGCAAAAAGGAAGCGGGCCGATGGTTAGCACGCCATGACAGCACTTGTGAATAAGGCAGTTACCACAAAAAGTCCCCAACCCCTGTAGAGATGGCTGAAGATCTCACCCACAGCGTACTGCACAAGGCTGCAGCTATGGTGAAAATTCAGAAGGGGGGTGTGGGGTGTGCTGTGCTGTTTTAGTGCTTCAAGCCCATCCTAAACCAAACAGCACAAAGCTCTGGGTGGGTTGTTTAAACGTTCCCCACATTTACCTGGCCTGTCTCATTAACCTCTGCCATGTTGTTGATCATAATATCGTTAGTCTAATGTCTGCTGCCATTCAAGTACACACACTTACATCACACACTGCATCACTTATTGTCAATGTGGCATACACACCCAAATAAAAACTGTTGTATAGTAGACATAATCATGAAGTGGATGCATCTTATTACAACTTCATAAGGCTTAAGTTCCAGCTTAGGCTATTTTCTGTCATTCTACTTGGTGATATCTGATACTTTATGTTCATAATAATTATAGGACATATAACTTAGTGTAGGAGTCAAACTAGTATGGGCCATGCACTCAGTTGTCACTTTATTAGGCTGAAGCACCAAACCAAACATCGCCACCTTCATGGAGGATGGTTTATCGCAGGACTGTTGTATTTCCCATTAGTTTTAGCCTGATGTAGGCTTCTAACCTATTATCAATAGCCCATCACCGTGAATCCAACGCAAGCCAATTCAGCAGCTATCCACAAAGTTCACTTGTATTCAGGTTAGCTACACTACTACACAAGGCTTAACAACTCATTAAGAGATTATACTGAGTTCCGTCAACCAAACGTTTAGCTACGAGCTCCGCAGACCACGCCTAAAAATAGCGCTAACAACCCAGTTAGTTTGGTGAAACACTTATAAAAGTTAACTTACCGCAATGTATCATGGTGGATTTTCTGTCCTCTTAAACAATATCAGTGCACTACTCGTGTTAAAGTCATTTCAGGCAGCTTTTAGACAGTCTGGCTGTGGTGGCACCTTGTTGTTTTACTCTACTTCCGCTCACCTGCGGACAGGCGCAAGCTGCCGCCTACCTGTGCGGAAGCTCCGCCCCAATGCACCTTTACGTTACAGGACTAGGGTGTATCTCTAATGGGTACAAGTTATTTATGCTTTTTAAAATGATCAGTCACGTTTAAAGATTGTATCAAGAGCAAAGATTTTTACTGTCAATTCACTATATGTGCAGGACATACAGAAAACCGAAATACGTTTCTCACCTAGTATTGAATGCCATACCATTTAGGAAACTAAAATAGAATAAAAGTAGAGTGAAAATAGACTAAAAAGAATAAGAAAACTAAGTCAAAGTGATTAGGATAAAGCTAAATGGTACAACCTAATAGGCTATGACTCAAACCCTGTACAATCAGTGACAGTAGTGCAAATAATAACAAGAATATTGACAGATGGTTGTGAGATTGAGATGCACATGGACAGTAGTGCAAATGACCAACAGCAGCAGATATGATGGTAAAACAGTCAAGCAGCAGATTTACATGTAATACAACAAGAAGGGGGAATGTATTGAGTTTGTGTAAAACAACAATGGTAGTCTTGTTATGTTCAGTGGTGGGTTATGGTCCAGGGGATGGTGGATGAAGCTGTTTGTCAGTCTGGTGGAGTGGGCCTGAAGACTCCGATACCTTCTCCCTGAAGGCAGGAGTCTGAAGTGGGAGTGTGAGGGGTGGGAGGTGTCGTCAGCAATGCTGATGGCTCTGCGGGTGAGGCGGGTGTTGAAGATGTCAGGAAATGTATTTATAGAGTTGGGAAAACATCTTTGATCATGTGTTCACCAAGCAAATTTGAATCATATTTCACATTTTTATGGTGCCTTTGGTAGTATGAGAACAGAATTTGATTGGAAAGCTGTTTGTTTACTGCAAGGCATTTATTTTGAAACTCGCCATCTATGATGAATCTGCCTTTGAAGACTTTTTATCTTATTTGTATAGTTGTACAAATGGATAATAGGCCGATTCTCTGTTATAAGTTATCATGATGATTTGAATACAAATTATTTATTTACATGAACCTCGTATTGGCTCCGTTAAACATGGAGGCTTGTAAACAAATGCTGCTTGGGGTTTGGCTACAGCTGCAACAGTTAGTCATTTTATCAGACAGCTGATCAACAGCTTCATCAGCTTTTCTGATAATTGTTTTACTAAGTTTGAAGATAAAATTGCAAACATACTTAATGTAAAGATTTCACTTGATCTTTCTAACACCTGATAGTGAACTGAAACCTTTGGGTTTTTTATTTTTAGTCATACAAACGAAGACATCTGAAGATTTGACCCTGTGCTATGTGTAATTATAATGCACATTTCCCCCACTTACTTACATTTTATAGACAACACCATTAATAAGGAAAATAAGAGGCATATTAATCTAACAAAAATAATGCCTATATATTTCCAGCAATGATGCTTATACTGTAGTGTTTCTCTGTTTTTATCATGTGTGGCTTTTTATTTTTTCTCTTTCTTTAACTGTTGTTTTCACTATAAATGTACTAATCATTTGAGTATTTTCAGGCACACTCAAAAAAAGAATAAGATTTTTCACCATCCATGATGTCAGTTTTCTTCAAGTGAATGTCAACTTGCTGCTGTTGTTACAGATGGAAAAGACTTGAGCTGCTTTACCTTACTGGGTTTGACAAGAACAAAATACACAATTCCTTTTTTTTTTTTTATATAATTGCTAAATGCCTCTGTCTTGCAATAAAATGAACAAAAAAATATACAAAACATTACTGGCTACATTGGTGTACAGTGCAGTGAAGAAGAGATTTTATCCAATGAATTGCCTGCCAGCCTCATTAGCTTGATTGCCAACACCTGTCCCTCCTGCCAATGCACCTTATTAATGTCTCATTTGTAGGAGCAACTTGAACAAAGCCTGGAGTTTTGAGTGCCCCCCCACTGTGGATGTGTTTTGTGATGAATTTAAGAGCTCCAGTGATGTCATGCTGGCTGGAGGCTGCTGCAGCAGCAAAGAGCTACCAAACCATTTTGTCTTTACAACTACTCATGTGGTGAGTTGAGTAAACTGTTTTCAACTAGTAAGACTCCATCCAATATGTCACTGCAGTGACTGAGAATACAACAGCTTCTGGTACCATTCTATCAAGAAGTGAGGTTGCTTCTCTCCCACAGGGTGTTGGTGAATGTGCACCAGGATCCAGTTGCCAGAAGGACTTCTTGGCTGCCTGGGCAGGTACAGGCTACTGAATACAGCAACACTGGTTCCTGGTCTGAAAACCATCAGGTTCAGTTGTGGCTCTTAACCACAGATTTGATTGGATTAAATTAGATTCAACTTTATTGTCATTATACATGTACAAGGCAACGAAATGCAGTTTAGCATCTAACCAGAAGTCCAATAACAGCAGTGTGGAGTGCACAATATCTACAGTATGTATAGTCAGAATTATTTTACTGATAGATATGTACAACTGATATTCACATTAAGATATGTAGGGCAATGTACGGTATACAACAGGCTATGGATTTGAATTACAAGTGATGGATAAGATGCATTAAGCGTATAGGACACTGGTGCAATGGAATGAAATTGTGCAGAATAAGAAGATAACAATAAGTTAAATGAGTGAACAGTTCAATGGATGTAAATAATGCAGAGATAAAGATGAATATACAGTATCTGCATATGAACAGTGTGCAAATGAATACAGAGCAGTATCCTGTGAGTAGAGTATGTGCAAATTAACTGATCAACTCAGTGTTGGAGGTAGCAGAAGTATATTGCATTAGTCCCAGGACGAGAGATGACGTAAGAGGAGTCCTTGAGAATGCTGCGAGCACATCGGAGACAGCGTTCCCTGTGGACACCCTCAATGGCTGGAAATGGAAGTTCCGGTGATGTGCTGGGCAGTTTTCACCAGCTGCTGCAACGCCTTGCGGTCAGAGACAGAGCAGAGTTTCCATACCACACTGTGATACATCTGGTCAGGATGCTCTCGATGGCACAGTGGTAGTTCACCAGGATGGCTGAAGACAGGCGGTTCTTCTTCAGTGTCCTCAGGAAGAAGATGCACTGGTGAGCCTTCTTAACCAGGCTGCAGGCGTTGGTAGTCCAGGACAGATCCTCAGATGTGAGTCCCCAGGAATTTGAGGCGGACATGTTCAACAACCATCTCGGTAATATGGACGGGATTGTGTGTGCATCTATTTTCCCTTCTGTAGTCCACAATGAGCTCCTTGGTCTTGTTAGTGTTAAGGAGCAGGTTATTGTCAGTGCACCACACAGCCAGGTGTCAACATCCCTCTGTCAGCAGAGACTAATGTACATTTCTTTAATAATAAAATAAGATGAGCTGGCTCTAATGCAGGAGGATGAAGCTGTGAGACAAATATCCAGCCAATTCACTCAAAACTTCAGTTCTCCAGGGGCACAGATGGGTCCCAGAGGCTGAGTTATGAGGGGGAAGTGGTGGTGCAGCAAAAAGGTAAGATGTGGGATGGATTAGCTTAAGGGAAAAGCTTTCCTGGATTTGTTGAAGTATCTAAATTTGGAAATGTTGATTCAATCTGTCGTGATGCATGTGCCCTTGAACTTATTTCTTTTCCTCAGGAGGACGATCAACGTAGAATATTTTAATACTAAGTGAATAAACTTATTTGACAATAACCCAGGTTTTTATAAGTGCTCTTCTGCAGTAGTATTAAGTGAATGACGTTTATAAGCCCATAGAGTTGACTGCTGGGCTCCTGTGACTGGCCTTCTCTTCCACCCAGATGTCGCTGTGGGGAGCTGGACACCCTAGTTGAAGCAGTGCTGTGTGCGCGCTCCCTTTTACACCGCATGCTCAGTGTTTTTCTGAGTTTGACCCTGGCTGCTGTATAAAGTGCCCATGCGTTCTTCACGCAGTCTCTTTCCCCGGCCACAAAACAGCCATGAGTGTCTAACTCCCTGTTGGAAAAAGCTTAAAATTATAAAATCTTAAAAATATAAAATACAAACGTAAAAAAATAGCAAAACCATAACTTAAAAAACTAAAGCTTGAGCTTAACGCGAAGTTGGTGGCTTTAAAGGAAGAAATCTATTTCTATAGCCAGGTTCTCAACGAGCTCTGGACCAGTTCACTGTCCGTTTCAGGTGCCAGTCGCAGCAGAGGAACCAGCAAACAGCCCATATCGTCATTTTCTGGTTTTTCTAAGGGGAGGTGTTGTAGTTATTTCTTTTTGTGAAGTCTGAGATATGAACACGGCGACGGGGAGTTACCCGATGGCTTCTCTCTACGTGGGCGATCTGCACCCCGATATCACGGAAGCGATGCTCTACGAGAAATTCAGCCCAGCCGGACCAGTGCTGTCCATTCGGGTATGCAGAGATATGATCACCCGGCGATCCCTGGGTTACGCTTATGTGAACTTCTCCCAGCCTGCTGACGGTAGGACAACATGCGGCGTGGTCACTGAAGTTGGAGCACGGTGCTTGCATGAGGCTTTAAGAACCGTAAAGATTGACTCCTTCAAATGTCTGGTTCCATATACGTTCAATGTCAAAGTCTAATGAACTCGGATACCGGCAAGTCATTTGACCCATAGAGTTAAACCCCTCCCCACTTAGTTTGCCTAAAGGTTAACAGATAAATCGAATTTGAGTCATTTTGCAGCTCTCGCACATTCAACCCAAAGTGACCCATTTCTGCTCCTATTTAAAGGGCCATTGAGTGAAACTAATTCCCATCATCCTCTGCTGCTATATTCACTGAAAGCAAAGGGACAAGCACAGCTGAACAATAACCCCTGCACTGCCAGCCTGACATGCCATATCAAAGACTTTAGCCTGTTTCTTTGGATTTATTCCCAGCTTTCTTTTTCAGTGAGCTGGGGTTTAGCAGAATCCCATAGCTGATCAATGATATATCTAAACCACTTGCAATTTGACAATAGCAAGACCTGATGCCAAAAATGAATGTCTGTAAATAACTAAAGATGTATCAGTGTCTTTATTATGAGCCCTTTCCATTTACAGACAATGGTATCAAAGCACTGAGCAAAAGTAACAGGTGCTGTGGTTGTGTTTGGAGGCCCAGTGATACTGTTTGCACTGCGTTGACTTTTGCGCCTCTTGTATCACCTGTCACACCATATCTGTGTTCGAGTCAGTTACTAAAAGCCAGTGTAATGAGAGGCTACAACTGGCTCTCTTCCAGAAAGATAGTATCGTTCACTGGACTAAGAGCCACAAGTGAAAAGACGCCATTTGTTGCTGGAGGTGCAGACATGGGGGGATGGTAGCTGTTGTGTATTTAAATGAATTCTTAACAGTGGGCAGTAGTGTGCTGCCTTTAAAATATAACTGACCAAAAAAAAAAGCACATAAGCATTATAGATTATTTCATGTAAAAGGAGGCAGTGGTTCAGGTTGTTTACAATCTCTTCTGAATTTCTCCACACCTCAGGGTGTCACACATCTGAGCATTCTGGTTGAATATGTGCCTTCCCCATCAACAGTAGAGAATGCTCTACTCACACTTCATGCCAGCACATACCTCTCAGGACCCCTGTCCAAATATAGAACATCTTTCTGAGCAGTCCTAAATTTGCCAGCTCTGTAATACTCTAAGCTCTTAAATGACACAAATAACATTTTACAACACTGTTTTGCTACTTCTTATTCTAGATTAGATCACTTAATATGTCCTTTTTAAACTTTCCCTCTGAGCCTTCTAGAAGTCCATGTTTGACAGTGATCACACACCTTCTCTGAGCACATGGGTTGTGAAGTACAATTGCAAGCCAAACTGCTGAGGCCAGCAGACACAAGGCAGCTCAGTTTTGTTTACCAGACACTTTTAGCTGGAAAGCCTGGCCTGTGTATGTCTGTTACAGTGGAGTGACGGAACAAAAGGATGTGTGGCCTTTGCACCCACATGTACATAAGAGCCTATGTGAGAATTAAAGCAATAGAAAAAGAAAGTAAACCTCTGACTGATTTAAACAGAAAAGTAATTTTTAAAACTTCAGTTTAAACCTGCTTGTTATCTATTGGCCTGGTGGAACGATAACTGCAGCTGGCCTAGGTAGGATGTGGCCCTGCAGCATGTAGTAAGGCAGGGAACAGGGCCATGTGCTCTCAGCTTGCCCATCACACTCTTGTCCCAGCTGCTTGTACAGACAGCTCGTCAGCCACATGGTCTACTGCAGTATTTTAACAATGTTGCACATGCTGTGTTAATGGGCTGGCAGCAGGGATTCTCCATAGTGGCACACAGGACAAACAGTTTTAATACACTTCACTCTAGCCTCATGCCTTTTCTTGGGTAATAATGTAGAGCAGGTGCTTGTGACTAAAAGGGATGGCTGTATTATAATCACTGTTGCACAACAATATTGACAGAAGGAAGCATGACATGTACTATCCATACTAGTGACTGAAATGTTTTCGGACTCATGGCTCCTTGTAAACAACCACCTCCCTCCACCCTCTTCCCTCTACCTCTCTGGCGCTCCTTCCAGCTGAGAGAGCCCTGGACACAATGAACTTTGACGTGGTGAAGGGGAAGCCAATCAGGATCATGTGGTCCCAAAGAGATCCGTCGCTGAGGAAGTCTGGAGTGGGCAACGTGTTCATCAAGAACCTTGACAAGTCAATTGACAACAAAGCCCTCTACGACACCTTCTCTGCCTTTGGCAACATTCTCTCCTGCAAGGTATAGTTGTCATTGAAAGTGGCTTTAAAACAGGAATGTTAATTCCTTTAGGCTGATTAGCCATGTAAATTCCCACCTTTTGAAAAACTTTTACTGCTTGGAAAGTTGATGGATATTTTGGATAATATTTGCACTTGACTTCTTCACATTACTTTCACCATTACTCCCAGTAACAAATAGTAAATCAGTTACATTGTAGTTCACTCTTTAATAGCAAGAAGTAGCCAAATTTAACAAATCTTTACAGAACATAAATGTTGGCTTGATTTATTTATTTATTGGTAAAACAACAAGACAAGTGTTTGCACAAATTGAGCAAAGCAACTGCAACAAGTACCCAGTCAGCTTAGCTTAGATTTGGAAGGAAAAAGGGGAAACAGCCTGGTTTTGTCCAAAGGTAATACAAATACCACTATGTCTAAAGGTAACTAGTTAAGGTTATATGTTGTGGAAGTGACAGCTGAAGTGGAGAAATGGTAAGTTTTGGGTTTACACACTTACACTTTGGTTTGTGTACAGTCTAAACAAACAAGATGCAACATATTAATTGGACAGAGCCAGGCTAGCTGTTCATAAGCTAAGCAACTGGCTCCTGGCTGTAATTTCATGTTCAGCATACAGATATGAGAGATGATGGTCCAAAATGTTGCTGCTTGTCTCTTGACAAGTATACGTAAATAAGACCATATAACCCCTATTCTGGCCTCTGTCCACTGGCTCCCAGGTCATTCTAGAACTGATTTTAAGTTATTGATTCATGTTTTAAGGTTTTACATGGACTGGCACCTTTATACCTCTGTGATCTGATATGGTGGCACAAGCCAGCGGGATCTTGTACATTGTTGAATCAATTTTTTTATTAACTATGAAATAGTTTACCTCCCATGAGGGACCTGGCAGTTTTTTAATCTCATCTTAAGAGATGGCTTTTAACATTTAGTTAAATCTGATATCCTCTTGCTTTTATTTTTTATAATGACCCTCTTTTTATTTATTTTATTGTATTTATGTGAAGTACTTTGGTCAACAAGACATTGCATTAAAGTGCTATATACATACAGTACATTTTTATTCAACTTGATGCAAGTGTACAGTATAAGGGCATTTTCCACAGTCAATATGTTTTAAACATAAGGAACATCACATTTAAGGAAGTGTACTATCCCTTTAAAATGTATATTTACTGGTGTTTTTTGTGCTGCAGGTGGTGTGTGATGAAAATGGCTCAAAGGGCTACGCATTTGTGCATTTTGAGACCCAGGATGCTGCTGATCGTGCCATTGAGAAGATGAACGGCATGCTTCTGAATGACCGCAAGGTGTGAGTGTCTGATCATCTAGGAGCACACATTGTCATGTTTTGTGTTTAGTATTAAAGAGCATTCAAAGCATTGTTATCTTGTTTTAACTCTAAAATGGCCTTGATGGTGTTTGATGGAACAATGAGATGGTAACAGGTTGACATAAATGTGTCTAATGTAGAAACCTGACTTGTCTGTGTCACATTTATGTTGAGCAGACTGATGTTTTGTCTTTTTTCAGTTGGCGAGTTTGTGTGTGAATGATCTGATCTCACACTATCTCTACTACTGCACGTTTGAAGATAGACTCTAAAAGGATGCATGACAGACTACAACCTCTTACTTATCTTTCCTACCAGGTGCTTTTTCTGTTGCCTCATTTGATCACATGCTGGTCACCCGTCTTAGTGTTTATGTGTCTGTATGCCCAGACTTGTGTGTTTTAGTGATGGATCGAATACAGGAATGCAATACTGGATGGCAGAAGGGGAAAGGTCATCTTTGCAAGGTATATATGATCATTTGGCCCTCCTCAGCTTTCCTTTGTACTGTGAGACTCTGTTCCTCCATCTCTTTCCATCCATCTCCTCATCAAGCTTTGGACCAGATATTACGATGGTTGTACACCGTGTTGTCTAGCATACCAGCATATACTGTATGCTTGCCTTTGGTGATATTAACAGCAGTTGAATGTTTCTTTTTTCATTGTTCGCCCCCAAAATGATGTCATGTGATAAAATATAGCCGCGAAGTCAACTTATGAATGCTGTTCCTGTTTTTTGTAAAAAAAAAAAAAAAAAAAAAAAAAAAAAAAAAAAAAAAAAACATCTGCCGAAGGAGTGAACTGCTTCAAGAGTAGCACTTACTTTATCATGTTTGTGTGGTCAGGTGCAGCTCTTTCTTTACCTGGAGACCTGGATGACCAGTGTTTTAGACTGGGAAAAGGACCTTAAAACAGGTGGATCCTGGTTTGTTTTTTTAAGCTTGTGTTTTGCTGCTCTTCGGCTATTTTCAGGTTTGTGGGTCGTTTCAAATCTCGCAAGGAGCGGGAGGCTGAGCTAGGTGCAAAAGCCAAGGAGTTTACCAATGTCTACATCAAGAACTTTGGGGATGATATGGATGACGATCGACTGAAGGAGCTTTTTGACAAATATGGTAAAACAGGACCAGATTCATGTATATTACTTGAAGTCCTGATGTGGTCTAGCTCTGCTGTCTCGCATCCACTTACCTGACCTTTAATCTTTGCAGGTAAAACACTCAGTGTAAAAGTAATGACAGACCCCACTGGCAAATCCAGGGGCTTTGGATTTGTTAGTTATGAAAAGCATGAGGACGCTAACAAGGTACTTGAAGATGTGGAAATATGTTAAATATATCTTTACGCGTTAGAAATTTCCTCTGATATTTCTGGCTTCATCCAAAGGCTGTAGAGGACATGAATGGCACTGAACTCAATGGTAAGACTGTGTTTGTGGGCCGGGCTCAGAAGAAGATGGAGCGGCAGGCAGAGTTGAAGAGGAAGTTTGAGCTGCTGAAACAAGAAAGGATCAGTCGTTATCAGGTCTGAAAAAAACTAGCTCCTCAGTCAGCTTAATCCAAGCAATCCCATTTTTTTGGTTATGGTAAAGAAGCTGCTTGCTTGTCTTTGGTTTCAGGGTGTTAATCTTTACATTAAGAACTTGGATGACACCATAGATGATGAGAAACTGCGTAAGGAGTTCTCTCCATTTGGGTCCATTACAAGTGCCAAGGTGAGAGAAATCAGGTTGCCGACGCAATGCATTTTGACCACATACTGTAGATGTCATTACACTCTATCTACAACAACTAACAAATATTTGTACTGCTTTAATTACCCAATCTAGTTAAATGTTACATTTTAGGTGATGCTAGAAGAGGGTCGCTCCAAGGGATTTGGCTTCGTCTGCTTCTCCTCCCCTGAAGAGGCCACCAAGGCAGTGACTGAGATGAATGGACGTATTGTTGGCTCCAAACCCCTTTACGTGGCTCTCGCTCAGCGCAAAGAGGAGCGCAAAGCCCACCTCACCAACCAGTACATGCAGCGTATTGCTGGCATGAGGGCGATGCCGGCTAATGCTATCATTAATCAGTTCCAGCCCACCAGTGGCTACTTCATGCCAGCTGTGCCACAGGTGTGAAAATTGATATCTGAATTGATAGTGTGTGTTAAAGTATGTCTATGTAATCTATATTTGTATGTTAAAAATGGATTACATGAGTATGCAAAAGCAGTTGCTTGCAGCAACCAACTGACAAACAATTGTCACTCTATAGTTTCACACAGCTCTACTGAGCTTTTTAATATGTTGGCTCATCTTTGTTTTGTGACTTGCAGTGTAGGTCTAAAAGTTAATGTAGGTCTTCATTTGAAGTCTGTTTCTCTTTTGATTAATGCTTCCTGTAACCCTTCCTTGGTCTTCGGTTAAGTTATGGTTAGGCATAGCAAAGGTAATTGGTTGGGTTTAGTGTAAGAGTAAGCCTCTCAGAAGACATTTGGATGGGGTTAGGGATTAGGTTGGATTCAGGTTAAGATGAGGAGGAACATATAAACAGTCTCAGGTTTAAAAATAGGCTAATTCCCAACTAACAAGGGAGGTTTTTGCACTGCATTTCCCAGAGGTCACTAGGCAAAAGTCTGAACTGATAAAATCTAAACAGACATCTTATTTTATTCCAGTAAAAATTCCACATATTTTTTTATTTCTTAAAAAGAGGGTAGTCCTATCAGTGGTTTAGTGTGATTAGATGACAGCTCACTCTTGTACCCACCAGGCCCAGAATAGGACTACATACTATGCACCCAATCAACTGGCCCAAATGCGACCCAACCCCCGGTGGCAGCAACAAGGTGGTAGAGGTCAAGGTTAGTACATGGCACTATATGATGCTTCATTTAGCTATAATAAGGCTGTAATGGATCTTTTTATGAAATTCAATTGTTGTATTTATCCCTACTTCCACAACTCCCAGGTGGTTTCCAGGGGATACCCAGTTCACTGCGTCAACCAGGACCACGTGCCAACTTGAGACACATGACCCCTAGTAGCAGCACTCAGGGTCCCCGAGGTGTGTTCACCAGTGACAGCTGAGCAGAATAATGACCACCAATTCATGGACTCTGACTTTGGAACTTTATAAATATTGTATAAAGATCCTTCTGCACTCTTCGGTGTTCAATTCAGGTTAGCAAGACTCTGTAAATTCTACACTGTTTCCTTTTTGACCCTAGCAGGTGGACAGTCCATGGCTCCTCGTCCCTCAGTGGGAGTCCCCGGCCCTCGTGCCATGCCTCCTTACAAATATGCCACAAGTGTCCGTAACCCCAACCCCCAGGTGGTGCAACCTATTGCCTTACAGCAGGTATTGGTAAGAGACCAATGACATCACCTTGTGTTTCAGTCAAATTTTGCTTCCAAACTATGAATAATCTTACTTCCTGTCTCATTTATCTGTCCTTTCCAGGCTCAGCCAGCTGTGCACATTCAGGGTCAGGAGCCGCTCACAGCTTCCATGCTGGCTGCTGCGCCCCCTCAGGAGCAGAAACAGATGCTAGGTAAGAATAACCTTTCATAATCAACAGACTGTAGTGTTTTGCAGTTTTCATTAGGTTGATTTATATTCTCTCACTGTTTATTTTTTAAAACAGGGGAGCGTCTCTTTCCACTGATTCAGGCCATGCATGCCAACCTGGCAGGAAAGATCACTGGCATGCTACTGGAGATTGATAACTCTGAACTGCTACATATGCTAGAATCTCATGAATCTCTGCGTTCCAAGGTTCTTCGCTGCCTCTGTTGTTGCCATGTTGTCACACTGAAATTATCCATATATCATACCTATTATCCACATATTACACTAGGACACTTGTATTAATGTTTTTCTTGTACAGGTGGAAGAAGCTGTGGCCGTGCTACAGGCACATCAGGCAAAGAAGGACGCCACCCAGAAAGTTGGCAGCATGGCGACTAGCGCTGCTGCTGCCACATCCTGAGCCTGCTGTATTTGACTGGTACGATAATACATAATCAGAGAAACTGCCTCATACTTGATTTGGTCATACATAGTTTCTGCTTTGTGGTACTAATGAAGACTCATTGTGTTGTTCCAGGGCACATAAAACATAACCAGGAATGCAAAGAGACCCACTACACCTGCCCCAAACATCACAGTCTTCTGAAGAATTATGTAAAAACAACCAAAAAAAAAGAAAAAAGAAAATATAATAAAATATACTTGAACCTTTACTTTTAAACTGCATATAAAAAGCAATAATGCAAATGAATCTTGAATGAAGGCCCTTCATTTTGTGGCAAAGGAGAGATACCTTGTTCTTTTTCTTTGACAGTTGTATCTCTGATGTGAAATGGTGAACTATCATGTCATCATGGGTGTGTGGTATTCTCAATAAAGAGATGCTATATCAAGGTTATCATTTTTGTTATTTTAATACTTTCAACTAACCTATTTTCTCATTTTACAAGGGTGTACATTACAGTATGTGTGTTACTGTTGAACGCTTACCTAGTCACTAGTGTGGCAGGACTAGCACCACTGATATAATGCCAAGTATCAAATGTTTTGTCTGGGTTAAACTGATATCTTTTTAGGGTGTTCCCCCTTTGGATAGATACTTGACACAAACAACATAAGGGAAAATAAAACATTTAAGTTTGCTTCTTAACTAGATATTTTTTGCACAAAAGACTTAAGTGACCATTTTAATTTATCAACCTAAATTGAAGTTTTTAAAAATGGTTAATAAATCATGTAGTTATTTTATAGATGTAAGGTATATAATATAAGGATTTTGTCCACATTTTCCCCAGCTCGTTTCTGGAACGCCAGAGGTTGAACTCTTCAGTGGACATGACAAACCTAAGACCTTTACACAGTGTCATGCTGGCAGAGAATAAAGACTGTAATAAAAGAATAAAGATTTTTCACAAGTTGCTCTTATTATTATTTAGTAACTGATAGTGCAGTGGTAAATGACCAACTTGTAAGCGCTTTATAAAGTGTATGAAAGTGGTGCTTAACATATCATTTAAAAAAAATGAACTAAAATAAGGTGGTTATCCTAAAACTATAACTGTTTACACTGAATTGTACCTTTTAAATGGCAGCCCTTTTGAAATATCACAGTAGTAATTCAGTTTAGTTCCTGTATTTCCAGGGTCATTGTACATGTGCTGTCACACCCTCATGGCCTAGGATAGCAGAAGAGAACAGAGCTATTGTTAATGTAACACATTTTCCTATGAAAAGTCAGTGTGTGCTGTGAAAAATGCCTTCACAGAAACAGTTCAATGGGATTCAGCCATTCTTAAATTAATTTTTTACACCTCTGTTTTAGCTTTAAAAAATAGACCCAAACAATTAAATTAACTCTCATCCTGTCCAATTTCTATACATTTTGAGGGGGGAAATCAGGTCAACACAATGCACTGCTTATTATTTTTGTTATTTTGGAAAACCACATGATTTTGTTTTACAAAAATGACGAAAGAACAAACAGACTTCTATCTTTTGGAATATTCGTGAATTTGCTGAAACCGAGAGATAGAGAAAAACGGACTCTGTTATTTTAAGGATAACTTAAATGAAAAACGCCAAACATGACCTTAAGAACTGTTAAGACTAGGCTGCTGAGTGGTTTCATCCGACAGGTGGCGCTACAGCCAACTAGACTAGATGCGGGCTTTAGTTTCATGGAGCTGCTGGGGTCAAAGTTGAAAGGATAAATCCAATATGGCTTCCAACAAACGAGTGCTGTATATTGGTGAGTTGTTATTATTTTTCACAAAGTAACATAAAGTTATGATGTTTTAGTAAATTTCGCTCACGTGCACAGGACTTTACCTTTAAAAAATCTCAGCAAACACAGTCATAGATGAATTTTAAATATAACCTCAAAACGAAACGGAGAGCCATAAGGTTTCCCGGGGCACCGGCAAAACATGTATCGTTACTCGTCGGCTCAAAACATGGGAACTGTTTTGAACCGTGTTGGTTGTAACGGTCAAGTCTCGAAAAGTATTTTACAGCGCGTTATATCAGGTTATGTAATGGACTTTGAGTCTTTTAAGAAATGTTTAATTAATTAATTAATTAATGGATGGATGAATTGATTGAATTTGTACGCAAATGAAAATTCCAAATAAAGGTCAAATCTCCGTCCAGTCGTGAACGCAACACGTGCCCTCTGAACCTGCATATGTCAAGTCAACCTATGTCAACCTGTCAAGTCGCATATTGTAATGTTGATTAGCGCACTGTCGGTGCTGTGTGTGTCTGTTAGGCGGCCTGGCAGAGGAGGTGGACGAGAAGGTGTTGCATGCAGCTTTCATCCCCTTTGGAGACGTCACAGACATCCAGATACCTTTAGACTATGAAACGGGTGAGACCAGGAGTGGCACTGTTGTGTATGATGTAACATTAAACACTACGAGTGAGCTCAATATCAGGCTATATAATAATGTACTTTGTGTTTTATTTTCAGAAAAGCACAGAGGGTTTGCGTTTATTGAGTTTGAGCTGGCGGAGGTATGTACTGGTTATAGTGCTGGTTATAGTACATTTTTTACATGAACACACCTTCAGTTTGCAGTACACAGCAGTCTGGCTGCTTAGTGTAAACCTTTTACCACATGAATCTACTTTTATGTTTAGAAATTAAACATAAGAGACACTTTGGGGAAGGAAGACAGTTGAATGTGGAGGGTTGGGTCCCAGTTATTAATGTGACTCTGCTCTAGAATATAAACATGAAAATGAATGGACCAGATTTATCAGTGCAATGTAGAAACTGTTTCATTGGAATGCTATCCAGTGTGCACGTAGCAAATGAATACACATTGCAGACCTCTTATAGTAAATATTTTTATGTGCATAACTAGTTCATGCTCTTCGTTGTCTGTAGGATGCGGCAGCAGCTATTGATAACATGGTAAGTGGATCATGTTATTGTACACGGGTGCAGTTTTATCTGAGACCTTTTTATCGGAGTTTAGGCAAAAGTTTAAAAACATGGAGCTTCCTCTCTAAATATATTTTTTTCTCTACAAGAATGAGTCTGAGCTTTTTGGACGGACTATCCGGGTCAACATCGCCAAGCCTATGAGAATCAAAGAAGGTTCTTCTCGACCAGGTGAATAAGGAGAAAACCTGGTAATGGACACTTTTGCCTGAACTTCAATTTAAATTCTTAGTTCTGATTTCAATTCCTCCAGTGTGGTCGGATGATGACTGGCTGAAGAAGTTTGCAGGAAAATCTTCAGAGGAGGCTGAGAGGGATCAAGCAGGAGGAGAAGCAACCAACACTGCAACACAGGAGGTGAGATGGCTTTCTATCTAAAGTGTGTTGGGGCCTCTGACTTCTAACTGTGTTAGGATAGTGAACTGGATTATAATTTGTTGTTTAAGGATGAGCCCCCAGCGAAAAAGGGCCGAGTTAATCCCCAGGTTTACATGGACATCAAGATTGGCAACAAACCAGCTGGAAGACTACGCTTCCTCCTTCGTGCTGACATTGTTCCCATGACAGCAGGTCTGTATGCTGTTTCAGTGGAAGCCTATTGCCATCAACCTTTGGTCAGACACATGTATATGGTATACAGCAGAGGAGAGTACGCCTCTGTGTAAGATCACTTAAGTGTCAAATGATTCAAAATTGTATGATCTCTCAGTAATTGCATTGTTTTTAAGTTGACAAATAGAGTATTGAAAATACGGGTCCCAAAGTAGAAGCTCAATGCAAGAAAAGTGAATACACCAGTGATCACTGACACACAGGTTAGAAAACCTGTGACCACTGAGTACACGAGTACACCTGTGTTTCTAATCATCCTAATTGTATAGCATGGTTATAAAATGAACGTTCTCAGTTTTGGACCTGTGGGCTGTGTCTGTCTACATGCCTGCATGATGGCATCACCTGGAAAACAGTTGCCAGAGGAACTGAAAAACCTGACTGTGAGACTCATAAAAATGGAAAAGGGTAGAGGAAGATTGGCGACCACCCAACAATCAGTCAAGTTGCAGCGGTATAGGAGTAAACTATTAAAAATATAAGATTTGAGTGTCAGTACTGCTGACACTTTAGCATTGAGATCCTACTGGGGAGCCTGTATTTTTATTATAGTAAACCTGACAGGTTTTTTTTATACAAGAGCAAACACCCTAATGTTCAACTTAGAAGTAACAGGTCCTGTAAATTCATATAATTTTGATTCTTTTGACATTTAAGTGATATTGTACAGGGATGTACTTGTTCATGTTATATACTATGTATATTTAGCTCCACACTGTTAAATTTAGAAAGGGCAACAAAATCAACTTTAAATATGTAAAGAATACCTAATAAAAAAGTCACATAAGGATCGTTTCTTGTGCTGTATAGAGAACTTCCGGTGCTTGTGCACACATGAAAAGGGCTTTGGCTACAAGGGCAGCAGCTTTCACCGCATCATCCCCCAGTTTATGTGCCAAGGAGGCGACTTCACCAACCACAATGGCACGGGCGGCAAGTCCATCTATGGCCGCAAGTTTGATGATGAAAACTTCGTCCTCAAACACACCGCTCCAGGTGAGCGTGTGGTGAAGTGTATGGTTTGTGTTGACTAGCAGGTCCTGTGGCTAACTGGCCAAAGCTTGTCTCTCGTGCACACAGGGCAGCTCTCCATGGCCAACTCGGGGACAAACACGAATGGCTCTCAGTTCTTCATCACTACTGACAAAACCGACTGGCTGGATGGCAAACACGTGGTGTTTGGAGAGCTGGTGGAGGGGATGGATGTGCTTCGTGCAATGGAAGTAAGGGATAGACTATTATATAAGACTATTACACCTCAGAATTTGTTTCATACTTTCAACAAAGTCTTTTTCCTCAGTTATGTAGGAACAGTCAAAGGATCTCAGAGCAGCTCAAAGTGTTGTTTGGTTTGGCTTTTGATTGGAACTTTTTATCAGGATTTATAATTATAATTTGTTATATAGAGCTATTTTTCATTATTATTTTTATATTTGTTTTAGTTTATCTTCATTTTATTGAGTTGTATCATTTGATTAATATCCTTTTAGCCCTTATTCTACCCTATTGTTATCTGTAAAGCATTCTGAAAGCAGGAACTTGTATGAAAGGTTTTATCTATACAAAGCTTGAATGACTGATTATGGAAGATCTAGCAGCATTTTAGCAGCTAAATTTAAGTGCTCCTTGACACCCCCTCACCTCACTAGATGGCTTTTCATGTTTCCTAAAAACCTCTTGTATGTGCTTGAGCTGTGGAGGACTGGACAAGGATAGTTAAGTTTGGTTTTTTTAATCACCTGGATTTTATTTTGTAATGGCGTTTAGCTCTTCACAACCACCACAGACTCAGAGCAGAGCAGAATATTAATCTTGATACATTTCTAGAAGCGAGGTAGAATGAAGGAGTGTTGGTGAAAACTTCGGTTTTCACCATCAACATTTCTGAGATTGTAAACTCTCTCTCGCTGTAGACCCCCCCACGCCTATTTAAAAAATCTTGTCAAACTAAGGCTTATTATGATTTTAATGTGACACACTTTGTGGTCCGGAGAGAAACCCCTTTGGGTCCAGGTCTGGGCCAGAGTCTGCCATTTGAGTAGTGCTGGTATATACAGCACACCAAACTTAAATTAGCATCTATCTGAAATTTATTGTGGATTTCTGTACAATTCACCTTGATTTAACTTGCAAAAAAGCATATTTTTGATCATTCTGTTAAGAAGTGTTAGCCTGATTGTAGCCGTAAATGTGGAACTCAAACAGCACCCTGGGTGTTATGCTACTGTATATTCATAATACATACATATTGTAATAAAAGCTTTTAAAATCTAACTGCATTTTAGCAAGTAACTGCTGGATCTAGTTGATTTGTTTTCTTTCTGCAGGCGCAGGGAACAAAGGACGGCAAAACGAAGCAGAAAGTGATCATCTCAGACTGTGGAGAGTATGTGTGAATGAAGAAGACGTGTGTGCTTGTTTGCTTGTGTGTCTGAGAGCATGAGTGTGTTCATAGTCTTTCATACTTTGAACCCACATCTTCTGCCATGTAAATATTTCAATAAACATTTTTTTTTTTAATAAAGAAACCTCAGCTTGATGCATGTTTGAGCATTTAAAAGTGAAATGAATTGATCTCCATACGTTTTAAAAAAACATTTATATATAAACATTTATCTAGTCCTTTGCTATCTGTAATGCAAAACGACTGTTGTAGAAAAGTCTCTGAGAACATGTAACATCCTGGCTGCCTGATGCTCGGAGTCCCCTGAGAAAAAAGACGTGCAGAGACAGATTTCCTGTGATGATGGGGGATGGTGTGTCCTAAAACCTGGCCTCGAATTACTACAGTTGAATCGTCTGATGAGAACATATGTGAGAATGGTTTGACAGTGCTATGTCATGTGCATTAGATATGGACAGGAAAAGAAAACCTTTATAATTGGGTTCTGCTATGAAATGATGTAAAGCAGGGAGGTTGAAGCCTGGGAAATATTACATTTAACACTCAACCCACTTGAAGTTTTTATATTAAGGATGTACACAGTTTGAAACAGTAGGTATAAAGAAGACACTGTGGCTTTAGATCTGTGTATCTTACTTGCCAAAAGATTATTTCACTTTCTGTGTACACATATTACACAACACTTGCCGAGTGTCCCAAGAAGGTTGTCAGTGATCACAGTAAATCTTTTCTGGTTGTGACAGTTTTACAGTTGGACCCTTCATTCATCAAACAATGATTTTTAAAGGAATTTCTCACTTATTTGAAATAAAAAATGTAGTCACCACACTACAGGCTACATAGTATACTGGAGTACACAGTAAAGAGTGCTGCACAAGCTGTGTCAGGACAACAGTCATGTCTGATTAGGTAATGTACCTTTAAATTAGATTTTGCCTTTGTGTTTTAATAAGTCTCAGGAGTCTGAAAACTTCAGAACGATACCACAGAATGAAGACGTTCATCAGGCCGATGAGAACAAAGCATGCACTAGGCACATCATGAAGGCCAGCCAGTGCTGAGGCTCCCTCGGTGGTGGTGCTTTTCAGGGTCCCCTTTGTGCTGTTTCCTATAAGACACACATGGAACACACTAATTATAGATATACATTGTCACATTTTGATGGAAGCAAACATATAAACTGAAGGACTTTTTGGTTCTTGTTACCATTGCTAACTCTGAGAGACGAGACAGTCCAAGTAACTTCAAAACAGTGCTGAACCAGGCCTATACATTATATCCCCTCGGTTGGGCTAGCCCCATACTACACAGAAACGTCAACCGAGACGTCTCTGTTACCAGCTTTGCAGCTGGTCATAGCAGTAGTCAAAACATGAAGCAAATCAATGTGTGTGTGTCTGTTGATTAAGTGGTGTGTAGCTAAAAACATTCTCACAGACTTCTAGTAACATGTCGTGACTTAAACATAAGAACATATTATGGCTAAGGCTACAGTTCTACACGTCATAATAATAATATTAAACATCCTGTCTGCTGACAGTCATCAACTCTTCTCTCTAGTTATCCTTGACCAGATGTACCCTGTAGAAACTCATAAGCATGACTAAGCATTTAACAGTCTAACTAGACATCCTATCTCCACTAAACATTTCTAATACATAAAGTATCTATCTAATTTCTATCTGACTAAAAATACCTAACAAAACACAGAGAAGGTGACTGAATTCAGATGATGGTTTATTCCTTTAGTCTTGTTTTAGTAACATTGTTTTTTTTTAATTATATAGATGAAAAGAACTAATTCCAACAGTTTGAACCACTGAAGAGCAAGTATTTGTTTAATGTACTGTATTAACCCTCTAGTGCACGCCGTTCCCCTGAGGCAACAGGAAACTTCTCAGTGCCCCTCTGGCCCCAGGAAATGGTTTTTCTATTTTTACTCTGGCAAACCCATTATCACATCCAAGAATTTGTAGGAATTGAAACAGCTAATCAATCTATTAATCAATTGACAAGAAATTCATCTGCAAATATTTTCATAACTGATCAATCATTTTAACATTTCAATTACAAATGTAAACTGTTCTCTGGTTCTTAGTGTTTCAGATTTTCATTGTCAAATGAAAATCTTTGGATTTGGCACTGTTAGACAAAACAAGCCCCTGGCAGCAAACACAAACAGGAGATGTAGGAAGTCGGGCTGCAGGGGCTTCACTAATCCATATCAATTATCATCTGTTGCCTGTTACCATTAATCAGTTACCTGGTTGCTGGAATGCCTAAATATGATGGATAACATTTGATGATCAAAACAACACCCAGCCATGGTGAAATCTTTGATATCTTATGAAACTGAATATAAATGTTGTTGTTGTGGTAAACCAGCATTTTCTAGGTATTTTTGTACCTTAACACGAGGGTTTTCAACCAGTGTCCCCCTGGTGGTCAGTGGAGGAATTGCAGGTAATCCGTGACCATGCATTCAGTAATGTAATTTCCCTAAGGGAATCCCAGTTTATTTGATTTTTTATAATACATTTCCATTTATTAATGATAGTTTGTGAACAATGGAATTCATGCAAGTTTATAAATTTAGAAAAGCCAAGGTGACTTTAAAAAGCCGTGCCCACCCAGTCTATCCACCACACAACGGTGGTCCTCCGGTTGCTTTGTAGTCACAGTGGTGGTGCCTGGGTCACAGTCGGCACAACGAAGACCTGAGGCAACAAAAATAATTAGGGTACAGTGGAAAAAGGACAAATAAAAAATTGCTGAATTGTGATTAGATGGTCTGCTGAATAAGAAAAAAAATGAAGAAAATCAAAATGTGTGCCTTAGAGGGTTGATACGACCTTGTTAGACAGTTTGTCCTCAACACTTTCAGCTCACCTGAATGGGTTCCACTGACATACTCTTCATATGCTGACTGACTGTTGTGGCTCTAAGCTTGGTCTGCAGCCATCTTGCTGTGCTATACTCATCTGAAAGATATAGTAATATGGAGGTTGTAAACGTAATACAATATTGGAGTCCACATAGTAAACGGATCTATATTTATCTATATACTTTTTAAAAACATGGATGTGTACATTTGTTCTATCTTAATATCAGAGTAGGCTCAAGGCGTAAGCAAACTAAATGCTTAGGGCCCCCAGTAGCACTTGAAATGGCCCAGAAGAAAGCTCATTTGTGTGCTCTGTAATGGCCATTAACTGCATTTTGATGCAAGCACAGTCTGTCACTTATTTGATTTAACTGCTGACTGTTGCTCTGCACATTTGGACTTTTAAACCAAACGCAATCACAGTGGTTAACTTGTTTACAGTAAATGTCTGCTGGTTTATTTTGCTACTTTTCAGTCTATCATATTCAGTATGCCATAGAAGGGCAAACCATGCTGGGTTGACACTGATGCGATGTAAACAAACAGCTACACTTAATAAAACCTAGATTTACAGCTTGTATGTGAATGATCAAGCATTGACAATACTTAATAGTAGTGGTGATGGGGGGGCTGGGAAATCAAATGTTGCTTAGGGCCCCATCAAGGGCCCCTGGTTAATGTTTACTAAAATAAAATCCTGTTACACGGGGTGTCACCAAAGGCTTTGTATAGACATAACCTAATTTTATTTTTATTTATTTTTATCGAGCTGTCATATTGTGCATTCTAGTGGTTTCATACTAAAACGTAGAAAATAGCGGATATGAAATAGAATTATTAAATGCGCAGTTAACGGAGTGTTTTGGTATTTTACGTCAAATCTACGTCCCCGCCCAACCTGGAACTTTAACGTCGCCCATTTTCTTCAGTTGAGTGGAGGAGCAAGTTCTTTGTTGGTGAGGAGCCACACCTGAACAGGTTGAGGGGGGAGAAGACATGACAGGCACCAGGCTCCTCCCCCAACACTCCGGTCCTGTTAGGAAGTCTGCCGAGGTTCCCAACACTGGAGAAGTTCATCCAAAGCGTGTTGTTCCGCTCAGACGCTCAACAGCGACGACTGCGTTTAAACTGTAAGTATCCAAATCCATGTGTAAAGAAATGAATCGGTTGGTAACACGACCTTGTTTGTGTTTTGTAGGCTGTATACGGGAGAATTTAGATGCGCACGGAATGTGATAACTTGCCAGAAGTGGTGGGGAACTTGCTGATTTAACTTAGGAGTTGTCTGATCTTATCTCCGTACAGCGCCGAATTTCAAGTTACTGATTACAAAACCTAAAACTTACAGGGTTGATATGAGGCTGGGCTCACTTTTGTGCTCGTTTTACACTTGTCTTTTCTGATTTTTGCATTAAATATATGTATACAACGTGATGAATTCGTATGTCAATGATCAATTCCACGTCCGTTTCTGTTGTCTCACCCTTTTTGTGTAACTCTTTTTGTTTCAGGCTGGTAGACACCCTCGGTTTGGCT